ACTCCAAAGCGTATGCGGTAAGTTCATAATCGTTCCCTTTTCAGGCCCGCTAAACAGTAATAAAGTATGGTACTCCAAAGCCCAGTCGCTTCTTGGAGCATCGAGGGCGCTCAGTCGACATCCGACTTTGGGAACGGAGATGGCGCCTGCGCAAATCGGTGCTCACAAATAAGAACAGAGGGTTTAGGGTTTGGAGTCTGTAGGGTTGTAGGGCTTCGGTTGTAGGGTTTAGAGTCTGCAGGGTTGTAGGGCTTGGGGCTTAGAGTGTGTAGGGTTGTAGGGTTTGGGGCTTAGAGTCTGCAGGGTTGTAGGGTTTAGGGTTTAGAGTCCCTCCTACTCAGTAAGGACGCAGCCCGCATTGCAGGGTAACTCCGAAGTAACAGTAGAAAGCAGCTTCACTCGTGGAAGCTATTTTCAACTCTAAGTCCAGCCATCTCGGGTTAGGGGTTTCGCGTTAATTACGAGTCTATAGGGTTTATGGGGTAGTTTAGAGGTTGGGCCTCTGGGATAAGAACATGAGAACATAGGGTTTGGAGTCTAGGGTTTCTAGAGGTTTCGAATTAGTTGGGGCTTGAGGGTTGATAGCTTTGGGTTTACGGGTCTGTAAAAACTCACCCAGACTAGGAGACATGAGTCTTGCGCGATTTTCTTGTGATGTTTGTTCTGCGCAATTGTTAGACCGTGAGCATTCGGGGGAGTGGCATCGCAGATCATCTCGTGCACACATGGCTTTAAAAACATGTGCGTATGGTTCCTGGTGCCTGGTGGAGACTTTTAAGCTTGAAGCACGGAGCGGCTGCATGAATCCACAACTCCCCGTCGTAGCAGTACTGAAGAAACAGCAAGACCAGCAATGATAGCAATAACACTGTCAGTGGCACTGTGAAGCCACAAACCCTGCAGTAGTTGCCTAAGCTACACATGCACGAAATACTGCTATGGAAAATGCTGCATTGTGTCCCTCAAGACTAGCATCATTCCTTGATCTTATGTCCAGTGTTCGTCGAATCCTTGCCGTTATGAACCGTCTCTATTCACTGTTCATGCTCAGGAGCGTGGAAGTGTGACTACTGCCGGAGACCACTTCAACATTCTACACCAGGTACTCAAGTTACAATACCTCCAGCTCCGAACAGAAGGCCGAACCAAAGCCTCGAACCCCCCCTAGACCATCTCTTTTGTAGGGGCCCCTCCAAGTCTAGCTGAGGCCTTTGAGACCAAACCCTAAAGACGAATGGGAACTGGTGCAAGTATGGCAGGCCCGATGCCTGTAGCCCCATCGGAAGTCGTAGTTCAGCTCGGGTTTAGTGAGGGTGCTTGGGGGGCCCTAAACCCCAAATCGCAGGGCAAGGGGCTTGGTGCTGGATGCGTCCAGTGGTCTGGATTCTCAATGGCAAGGCATCGGGATTAAGGGTTGACGGTTTCGTCAGCTTTCCAGTATCCCTGCAGTGATAAGGGTGCCCTTTTTTCGTCGTATTGCTGCAGTCCTTCTCACCCGATATCACGGAACGAATTTAGTGTTCAGGGATTGCTCTTGCGCGGTGTATCTGCTGTGCGGATGCCCGGTCAGGAACACCTAGCACACAGGCTTCCCTACACTGGGGACCCCCTTGCGGTCCTTCTCATCAGACTGCTTTACTGGCTCGGGGAAACGAGGCCAGTGAACAATATCTGCAAAGGTTCAGCGCCACCTACGTGTAGTAGGTTATGCTACTCAGAAGACCTACCTGACCCCGGTTCTTAGCTGGATTTTACAGAACCTAGCTTTCCAGTATGCCAAAGGCTATAACCCTAAGGGTTTGGGGGTGTAGGGTGTCAGTATCTTGAAATTGGGCTAAATCACTACAGCTTGTACTGCAAGCTATCGAGAAACACCTGCTCACCTATCGGTGTCCAGATTTCCAAACGGGAACAGGCCTCCCTGCGTATGGCAACCTTGTACTCTATCTAAACCAAACCTGACCTGATCCGATAAATAAATATACATATGAATAAGTGTATATATATATATATATATACATCCTGAACTCTAGAATCTAGATTCCCCAATCCTCAAATCCTACACGCTACATGTTCAAGCCTAAATCTTCAACCTGAGACCTCGTCCTCCCACTGCAGGTCGCCCAGCCTGAAGAGATCCTCCTCAATGACCGGCAAAACGAAAGCCGGGACGCCATGGCCCCGTCGAACCGGCCGATACGGTTTGGGTTTACCTGGACCCTGGTTTTGTTACTATGACTATGATTTCGTTGTATAAGTCCTTGAAAGGATTGGTTATTTAGAGTCAAGGTAGGGTTTAAGGTTTTGGGTCTGAGCTTACGCAGGTCTCACGGCTTGGTTTCGGGTAGTGCTTGGGGCTTTGGGATTTAGAGTCCAACGTCGGAAGAAGCGAAACATCAGAGCTCACCATGACCGTCTGTTGTCCTCTGCGGATGCATTTGACGTACTGCTTGTGAACCCGGATTAAATTTTGCCAAGCAAAACCCGCAGTATGATTGGCTGACTGCGCTTTAAGACCGTGGTCCAAATTAAATATGAGAGCCCAAATAACTACCGATACTCTGTTTGGGGCTTCCTTTTACAAGTACAGTATAGCATGCCCTATTCGAATCGTTTTGGCCCCTATATGGGAGTTTACACTCCAAAAATACGGGGCCCTAGTAGTATAGTACTCTAGATAATCGGATCCTTATTACAAGGACTCCCAAAATAAGGTACCCTAATTTTCGGAACCTCCCATATGCATGTGGCCTGCTTGTTTGGTAATGGCCTGTCTTACTTGGAAGGGCAGGGAACTTAGTAAGTAGGGTTATAATTGGGGTAACTCCGTTTAGGGTACTTATAACTCTACTTATAACCTACTTACTAAGTCCCTAAACCCTAAACCCCATAAATCCCCTTAATCAAGGAACCCTATAGATCCCTTTAAGGAGCCCTTTAAGAGCCCTTACTAAGTCCCCTGCCCTTCCAAGTAGAGCTCAAGCTTTTCGAGTCTGAAGCTGAAATTTGAGCTTTCACAACGGTTTCTACAAACCTTGGGGGCTGAGTGCAGAAAAGGTTATTCCCTTAACCCTAAACCTATAACCTTTTCAATTATGAATTATTCTCTCTCTCTCTCTCTCTCTCTCTCTCTCTCTCTCTCTCTCTCTCCCTTTTCAATTATTGTAGGATTATTATATTAACCTCAAAAGGTTAGAGGTTACCTACTCGGCCACTAAGAGACTGCTACACGAGGAAACATTGCGACGATTGACGCTCAGAGGCCGGAGCTACGGTTTGGTTTCACTCTTCGGAGGGTACGAGGTCAAAGACAAAAAAACGCCTTAGGCCACAAGTTATGAAGGATCCTCAATGGGTGGTTCTCTAAGTTGGGGTCCCTTTCAGAATCGTTTGTATAAGGGTGGCAGCCATCTCTTGCTAGGCACACTTTTACGATCGAGGCTTTAGGGTTTAAGGTTTAGGGTGTAGGGTTTAGGGTTCAAGGTTTAGGCTTTAGGGTTTCAGGTTGGGGATCAAGTGGTAGAGACCAGAGTTCCAATCCAAAGCCCCGAAGCTGCACTCGGGTTTTTTGGAATGAGTATGCAAAGGCTTAGGGCTCAGGGCTTCTAGTGCTTAGAGAAATCAAAGGTTCACGGCTAAAGCTGTCTAGAGTACGCACAGGCGTAGGGCCTAGGGGGTAATGTAGGAACCTGATCAAGAAACCTTGGGCCTTTATTAGGGTTCCTTATATAAATCCTGCCATTTTGGGGTCATAGGGCCAGGGTTTCCTAATCAGGTTCCTACATTACAGTATTTAGAGAGCTCAAGCCAAATCGGTTTACGGGTTGCTGTCAATGTCAGCATGGGTCGGCTGTACAGTTCTCCGAACTGATGCTTTTCCTGCAAAGTACTATAATCTCGACCATGTAATCATAATCTTCTACTCTATTGCTGCTTCTTGTTACGAAACTGTTGCGCATAGGCTCGGCCTGTGTTGCATAGCGCACAGGGTGCTGCCATTTTCGCCATGAGCCGAAATCAATCCAGCGTCGCCATGCCTTTTCCGCGACAGCTCCGCAAAGCTAGTGTGGCTCCATAGCGTCGGAGTCCTCTAGAATGAGAAAAGTTGATGCATGCTCCCCTCATGCTCCCGGAGCCAGCTATACGAGACAGGATTTCTGTGTGGAGGATCGCAGGACTTCGTAAGTGGGAGTATTTTTTGGGGTTTGCAACACCATAAAATGCAGGTCACATTACAGTCATTCCCCCCCAATTAAGCCCTGCACCATAAGGCTCTAAGTCCTGTGAACCTCCAGGGTTTGGGGACCCAGCCGAGGAGCCTTTTGAATTCCTGCGCTGGAGCACAGCTTGTGTAGTGCCCCAAAAGGCCCAAAGTACCGATATGGTGGAATGTCGGGTTTCGGAATTAGGAATTACCATTATGATTTGGGGAAGTATCCCCCATAACAGTACCTAGGACCATTTGGGTGCCAGCGCAGGCGACATGAAAAAGCTGTAGCTGCTCACGCGGCCGACTGCTGCAGGAGTCTCCCTGCCCCTAACATAGGGGCCTTAGCAATTAGAATAGGGTTCTGGGCCCCGCAAAATAGTGTAGGTAGGTAATTATTAAGGCACCTATAGTACCCCTCCAGCTTCCTGTGTGGACTACAGGTTAAGCTTGACCTGATCTTATACTCAGGAGCTGAGTACCCTAGCCCAAAAAAGGCTAACCTTCTCAATTCTGGTAGGATTATGTAAGCCCCAAAAGGTCAAAGGTCACCTACTCAGCTACGAAGCATAAGTGTTATGTACACTTCTATGAAGTTTCTCAGTCTTTGAAATTGCTTACTTGCTTTTGTCTTCAGTGAAGCCTACGTGCACTTTTGGGGGTTTAGGGTTACGGTTCAGGGTTTAGGGTCTGAGAAATCTCCTGCTTTTCGCCGTTGCCTGCAGCAGCACTATGGAGCTGTATGCAAAATCTTGGAAAACATCATGCTTTCTGTACACCATGCTACACCGGGCTACCAGGGAGGGCTCCATTCTTTGCGGGAAGCATCCGCGCCCATCTTCATGCATGTGAAGCCGGTGACGGTTGGATCGAAGCTGCCGATGGGAGATTTCCAAACTTCACAGCGCCCCGGGGACCACTCGATTCCGGTGCAGGAATTGCCGCTTCTGTACCTTCACTGTCAGACAATACACCAACCCCCGTAAACCCCAAAAACTGAAGCCTAAATCCGTTTTGAGCTCGTTGCTGCCAGGACAAAGCTGGAGGAGCTTCTGTGCTTTGCATAAGACACCAGTCACCCAACGGAACAGCAAAGCAAGAAAGTCTCGAACAACCTAAACCCGAAAGCCAATCCCTAAAATCCCAAACCCGACAGCCTAAGCTCATGGCATGCCCCGTAGAGTCGGGAACAACATATAGGGGACTCTAAGATAATACCTTAAATAGTAGGATCCTTATTATGTAGGAGGACCCCGAAATAAGGTACCCCTAATTTCGGAAACTCCCATATGTCCTGCGGTCAAGTTGCCCTGTGCAAGCGGCCTTGCACTCCTCCAGTGACGGGTGCTTTGAAGGAAGCAAGTCCTTGCTTCCCCAATGCCCAAACGAAGCAAAAAGCTACAAACTTGCAGAATACATTCAATGAGAGTATTGATACACAAATGCTAGGTATTGGAGCACTAAGAATCGTAGTGGCTCGGGTCGTCGTCGTCCGGTGATCTGTAGCGGCAAGGATGAGATGCGCTTGGTTCAGCAGGGCTCAGCTTGTTAGTAGGCCAGCCATATCGCAAACAAGTAAATTCCGCCTTCTCCAGAGGGATCTCCACATACGCAAAGATTCCGAACTCTCGAGTCCAAATCTCACAGCGCCCGTGGCTGTACTCAATGCCCCTGCAATCAGCCCAATCGAGGCCCATGCACTTGAGCTTGCACTCTTCGAGAGAATAGATCTTGTGAACGACATAATGACGAGGATCCTAGGTACCGCTATGGGGATACTTCCCCAGATCATAATAGTAATTCTCAATGTAGAAACCCTACATCCTGCTATATCGGTACTTTGGACCCTTTTTGGGTAATGACGAGGAGCGTTGTCGGAGGCATTGTCTCCGCGGCACGCATGATTTCCCGAGCCGCCCACGGGCTCCCATAAGTCAGTCATAGCATCTTGGAGGATGGTGTAGCCTGGCAAAGCCGCCTGGGTTCTTGTCAATAACCCAGACCCCCGGAAGGATCCAGAAAGTAGATCCGTTAATGGGGGTTCCTATGAAGTACTACTAAGGGCCCCAAATTAGGGGATCTACTTTCTAGATCCTCCCGGGGGTCTGGGAATGAGGATCTATAGTAACTAATATGGTTTCTTTATTCTGGTATATACGAAGGACCTATAGTAATTAGTATGGTTTCTTTATTGTGGTATATAAGAAGGATCTATAGTAATTACAGTGGTTTCTTCACTATTGTCAGTTAAAGTAAGGCCATTAACAAGATCCCAGCTTCTTCCGAGCATTCGCCGGGCTCCACATGCCGACAATAGCACTTGTACCTGAGGGGCTGAGTACCCTGGCCCCAAAAGGTTAACCTCTTCAATTATGGTAGGGTTATATATAAACTAATATACACCCAAAAGGTTAAAGGTTATAACCAGGTTATACCTACTCAGCTAGGAAGGTACCATCCGCAGGTCTCGCGGTTGTATTCACCAACGGGAACCGGCCGACGCGAGGCATACAAGCAGGTACCACGTGCGGGGACACACGAATGGTCGTTCGTGCACACTTCAGGCCCTGTCGGGTACTCTTCTGCGCATCCGCCAGAATAGCAATACTCCCATCTTTCGTACCACTCTTTGCCACCGAAATAGCATTCGTTTAGAGTGGTCTCTATCCACCTTTGCTCGGAACTCCTTCGCAACTCTCCCTTCAAGGCAAGCAGAGACCAGCCGCTCTGAGGGCAGCGTGCTGGCGAGGCGACAGCCAGGGTTGTGAACCCAAAAAAACACGCCAAAATCATGGGCTTCGGGAGACTTGAAGAGCCCTCCTGCTTGAGTCCAACGGCTCCTCAGAGACGGGTGTTGGAAACAGCTGATTCGCATCTGAGCAAGCAGCAAGAAATCGTGGTGATGTACTTGCATGTTGGGCATCTCTACGGCACAGGCCCCGAGGAGGCAGGAAAGTACGGAAAGCACCGGAAGTTGACGCATGCTCACAGGGAATGCTTTTCAACACAGACGCAGGGCCCGGTGAGGCATGGGCTGACGGAGCTGTACAGTGCCAGGCAAGACCCTGCAAAATAGTTGACATACATCCATCCGGAAGTCCGGAAGAAGGATGCAGAGGAAACAAAGGTCAAAGCCTCTAAACTCTGGAAACCCAGCGTCACAGCTCGCTCTTGCCCTGCATGTTGCTATTGTGGGCCTGGCGGTCGAAGGGGCTTCATGCTATATACTATACCGTAGTATACCAACGGTTAAGGTCTTAGGATTTAAGGGTTTAGGGTTTAGAGTTTGGCCATCAGGTTGGGGTTGAAGTTTTAGGGCACATGGCATCAGGCTGGGGGTCACATTTGTTCCAGCTTCCACGCGCCGAATGAAACGAACTCATGTCAGAAAAAGTTAGTCTACCTGCCTGTGACTGCAACCTATATATAGCGATAGGGTAAAGATACTGCCCACTTCCGGCATGCATGGCATCCCCACTCGAAGCACGACTAACTTGCCTCACATTTTTCACGGTAAAGGCGAAGTAACGAAACACCAGGTTCAGACCTAAACTCTTTACTTTTAAGATTTGCAGATTTCGACGCCATGTCATTGCCGGGCAAAGACAATCTCTCGTGGGATCGGATGTGGGGCTTGCATTGTATGCCCAGAGGGTCCACATAATACGCTACTTTCTGGAATTAGGCCCTAAAGCACCATCCTCATTATGGTTTTGGCGACCTAATTCCATTGCAATAGTGTATATGGACCCTCTAGGTGATGCATGATCACCTATAACACGACCACTTTATGGATGCTCAAACTTAACCAGGGGCTCAAGCAATGAGGAACCCGAACCCTCAACCCTAATCCCTCAACAGTATCGCATCTTTATTAGAGTAGATGCCCGAAAATCGGAAATCCAGTAATGGCCCCAAGCCTCAAGAGCCAAGAACAAGGGAATCCAAGCACTAATTGTCCTTAATCCGTTTTCCAACTTGTTGAGGTTTACGGCATTGCTACAAACGCCTTTACAGTGGAAGCCAGAAAGATGAAACATCATTGTCCTCATGCCCTTAAAGTAAATAAAGTATAGGGAACCCTAGCAGTGATCACCCTTACCCCATGTTCCAACTTTCTGGGTTTCACAATACATAGCGGACCCTAATATAGTACTCTGAATAGTAGGGCCCTTATTAAACGGACCCCAAAATAAGAAATTGCTAATTTTTGGAAACTCCTGTATTGCTACAAAGGCCCTCAAAGCAACAATGCGCTGTGACTAAACTCCCTGGAAAGGGGGAATGGATCCCTAAAGTACTCCCTATATCGTCCCCAATCCCTAAACTTAAACCCTAAACCCCTATGACAACCCTCGAAGGTCCCCTATAGGCCCTAAACCTTAAATAGTCCCTTAAGGTCCCCTATACTCGTCTCCATAGTCCATTCCAAGCAAAAATTAAGGATTGGGATATTCCAACCAGAAAGCCCCCTGTATAACGAAGCCCAAGAGGATAGGGAAACCCCCTATATAAAATGCTTCCCTAAGGCTCCATGTGCCCGTAGATTATATACTTAGGCCAAAGGGTTCCTATGTAGGTACTTTGAGGCTCAAGTGTATACTGTATCTACACCACGTTGAGGGACCTGCCCAAAGATGGTCTGGATGGTTTAGCCTCCGCCGTTAATATGGCAGAAGCAGAAACGAGCCAAGTCATCCATCCCACAACAGTGGGCCCACCACCAAGTTGCCTTGATCCCCAAAAATGGGAATATAGAGCGGCCGATTACTTAATCTCCATAACCTACCGTCTGTATTGTTTTGCACGCAAAGGCGTGGTGAACACGTGGTTAAAGGAGACGAGCCACCTCTACCCCTGGGACAAAGCAGTCCCTGTGAAGCACATGCTCGGAGGTTGGGATCCTCCGTTTGCTGAGAGGCGAGCTCGCCTTCGCAAGCCAAAAGCATGCAGTCTGCCCCTTCGCAACAATGATTGCCAGGGTCTACCTCGGACCAATCCTGGTTGAAGCACAGCAGATTCCAGGCGTGGAACACGTTGATGCCTGGGTCGACGATGTCGGTGCCGATTACGGAGGCAAGCCAGCAAGTCAAGTAGCGGTGCAAGCCTTGCGAGGCTACAGATATCCTGTGGGTGCAATTCATCCCCGGTGGCCGGGAACCTTGCCTGGACGCGGCGAAAGAAAGTCTGCAAGTGGTCCCCACGCGAGCGTAGAGGAGGAGCACGACCCCAAGCCTCCTTTGGCTCAGGGCGTAGAGCCGAGCCACCCGGTCGAACGGGTTCGCGACCCCAAGGAAGGAGTCCATTTCGAATAACGCAGCGAGCCGGCACCGCATCATAGACCTGCCAGGTTCAAAAGGGTGTGGGGGACTGGTCTCTATTGCAAACTAAGTTTGCATGCCTTGACATGCGGCTTCAAAGACTGAAAAATCATGGTGTCCGACAGCTTCTCGCTCAGATCTGACAACTTCAGCTTGGCGTTGTAACTTTTGGCTATGGCCTTGGCCATGGCGCGATTGCTGCCATGCAGATCCGGCCGCTTGGCCAATATTGGCCGCGAAGACGTGAATCTCTACGCTCCTCTGCAAGGGCCCCTGCCTCACCAGCTCGAACCCAATGCCAAATTTTCACGTAGGTTCAACGCATCCCAAAACAAAGAGTCTCCTCGCTCTCCTCGACTCGGAAGTGCAGCGGCGTAGACAGCACACTGGCCCTCCACTTCTGCATCTTCTCAACGTCATTCCTGACGCAGTCCCTCGCCATGGCGAAGAGCATCGCATGAACTTTCTCCACCGGAGACACAAGACGATACGGACGCTCCACCATCATCGCCTTGGGGCCAGCCCAGGGTCTGAGCATGAGGTGCCCACAGCGACCTCGATCTCGCCCAGGACATGTCCGGGTGTGGGCGCTTGACCAGCACGTACCGGTGCTACTGCAGCAGAATGGCTCAGCCGGATGTCCAACCACAACAAGTTTCCTCCACACTTTGCACTGCCTGCTCATTTGAGCTCACGCCTGCCATCACCGGGCAACCCAACACCTCCTGCATGGCGGCCTCGATACTCTGCATGTTTTGCGAATTCACCGACGTCACGTAGCCCGCGACTCCGCCGCCTCCAGAAGGCAAAGTCGCAGGCTCAGGCTGACAAGGCAATGCCACCGAAGCCCTTGCAACGGAAGAAACGCCGACTCGAGACGACCGAAGCGCAGACGGAGGCTGAGAAGGCTTTCCAGCCTCGCCACCCTGCGGCTCAGAAGCCCGAGTCTCCGCCGGCCCTGCCGAAGCGCAGGCGGAGGCTGAGAAGGCTTTCCAGCCTTATGGCTACATGGAGCCTTAGGGTAAGGACCTCGAACTCTAAACCTTGCCCAATACCCCTGAATCACTTATAAAACCCTCAAAGATTCCCTTAAGTAAGGAACCACAAACCCTAATTATTTAGGCCCCTAAATGCTTATGCTTATGTGCTTTTTTGGGGTCCCTAAAATTTGTTAAAGGAGCCCCACTCTAAACCCTAAATCCCTCATAGAACCCTTATAGTATCCCCTAACTGGGGCTTATGCTTACGTGCTTTTCCGGGTCCCCAAGATTTGGGAGATGCAGTCCATGGCGCCTCACGAGCCAAAGCTTCCTTCCACAGCAGGGATTTCGTTTTTGTTTAAGGGGGCCCTAGGGGCTCTTTTTAAGGGGGTGTGGTCCCTTAAAAGAACCCTAAGGGCCTTGGGGTTGAGGGATTAAGATTTAGGGGGTTTAGGGTTCAGGGCTCAGGATTTAATAGGATTCAGGGGGGTTTCTTCGACTCACACACTGGAACTCGGCTGGCATGGCTTAGGTTTTAGGGCTTTGAATTTCGGCCCTACATTTTGCAGAAAGGCCCCCACACCCTCAAATTTTTTTGGGGGGTTTAGGACTTAGGATTTAGGCGGTGATTATGTCAGGTGAAAGGGCATGAGGTTAAGGATGTTCACTTGGGGTTCTAGAGCTGCGTTTGGGAGTCAGGCCTGGATGTCATGTTTACGCAGGACTTCGGGTCTGCATTTCAGCTGTACGCAGTTTCCCTACTCGATTTTGCTAGGGTCTGTGTGTCTTCGGGTAGGTTCGATGGATGGTGGAGGACCGGCCAGCTGAGATACTCGCCTCTCATATCCACAGCTGACTCCTGGAAGCCTGCAGTTGGTTCTGAAACCTCACGCCCGTCAGGTCAGGCAGCCCGTTTCATGCAATGTTTGTCAGCTGCTGCATCATCACAGGCTTCAGCTTTACCTGCATCCTGAACATTCCCACACTGTGATGACCCTCAACCTAACAAACATGGAACTCCCCCCCTGCTTTTCGAAGCTGGAGGAATCCGCAGACCTCGAAAATACCATGAGGGCTGAAGGCCCGTTTGGGCGTAAAGAGTTGGGTGTAGTCTAAGGGGTTGAGGTTCCCAGAACTCCGAATATCCCTGAATTAAGGAATAATCCTGAAACAACAGTAGGGACCCTGATATGACTTGAGCTATATTCCTTACTTAGGGGATCCTGGAAGATCTGGATTTGCAGTAGCCGGGCCTGCCGTCGGCGCTCGAGCAAACGCTGCTTCCGGGCAGCCGACTGCAGGGCGAAACGCGCTTGAGGCTATTTGCGACGACTGTTTAATATAGAGGCCTGAATCATTAGAACAGGGCTTCGGGTAATTTGTTTTGCCATAGTTAGTTTTGGTAAGGAATTTTCAGAATAGTAGTGTTGGTAACCAGTTCTCTAGTATCGTCGCTGCGTCTTTTTTTCCACGGCAACTGCTACGTACTGCTACTGCCACTACTATGCCTCCGGCTTGTACAGTCAAGCCTGCTGCTCCAGGTTCAGGGCTCAAGAGTGCCAGGAACTGCGGGCTAGCATATGCCAAAAGCCTAAGACAGAGCCATGGCTTGCTGATTAGAGCTTACCTTCACCACCAGAACTCTCTCGCCGCACTACGATAAGTCTCGATGTGTTTCTTCATTGGTCGGAGATGAGTTACTACGTTTATCCTGTATCTGTTTTGCTACTACCCGAGAATGTGATTACCACTGAAATCGCCCCTGCTGATGACTAAAATGTTCTGGTCTGTCTCAGAGTTCACCCTAAACCTGACATCTAGGTTTGACTGAGAGCCCTCTATCCCCCATCGCACTGGCAACCAGTGTACGAACCGAGTGTGGCCTAGCCCTCGCCCGTCCCCCCTACAAGGAACATCACAAGACAGTGTTGTAAGTCAAAGAGTCGCACAGCATGCACAGTATCGAAAAGTTTGCGAAGCCCCAAAACGCGCCAAAAATCGAAAAGTTTGAACATCTATATAAGCCCTTCGACTTTTCGATGCTTCGGTTCTCCGCTTTGCGAAACCAGCGCCTGCTTGCATACTTATCCCTTTTTTACACCTCCAAGTTCAATTCTCGAACGCCGTACAGTAAACCCCATAAAGTTGGAAACCAGATTAAGGCCGAATAGTGCTGGAATTCCCGATACATTACTCTTAAGGATTGAGGCTATTGGGTTTCCAACTGTTTGGCTTCTACTACAGTGCTCAAAGCTGGCCCGAAACCCTAAACTCTTAACACGGATCTCGAACCACTGATGCTAGAACCTTATTGGGGGATCTAAGGATTGAAATGTAGTGTTCGATGTGGCGAGATCCACTGTTAGGCAACGTTTGAACTTAAGGGTTTTTGGTGGTCTAAGGTTATAGGCTCTAAAGAACCCTAACAGCCCCCACAATTTTTCCAAAGCTCTATACCCCCAAAGCTGCAGAAACCAACCTCCCGAAACCCTAAACCCCTAAACCCTTAATCCCAAACCATCCACCCCCAGCCTCGCAACTCGAAGCCCTAAAGGCCGAAACGCGTCGGATCCTTTAAAGCCCTTGAAGCAGAAACTCCCCCCAAAAAAACCCTACAATCCCTAAACCACAAAACCCCACAACTCCAAACCTTGAAGCCCGAAGCTACGCTTCCAAAGCATGCGGGTGGTTGTCAACATTAGGGTCTCTTTTTGGGTCCCTAATATATATAGTACGGCACCTAATGTTTAGGGTGCCCCAAAAAACTACAATCCTTGCTTTCGTTCTGAAGGCCTCTCGCCGGTCCGAGTGGGGATCGCCGAAGGGCTCGAAATCAAACCTCTCCTCACACACACTATTTTTACTAGTTGTAGATTCTTACTTACACTAAGTACTGCTACGGGTAGAGCTACGGATAAGATTACTATTAACTAGAACTATTTCGAACTAGTACTACTTCCACTGCCATGACTGTTACTATTGTTATCCTTGTGTTGCATGTGCATTGCTCTCAGCATTGTTGCTCTTATTATGATTGTGATGTTCATTGCTGCTGCTGCTGTGAGCACGATGTTGCCACTACTGCTACTACTGCTACTACTACTACTACTACTACTACTACTACTACTACTACTCCTACGACAACTACAACTACTACTACTACTACTACGACGACGACTACTACTACTACAGTCAGGAGTTTGGTGAGGCTTCGTCTGTTGAGTATGACGATGATCATCAGTGATATTGTTCTTCTTCTTACGATTATCTTTACTGAAAATGATGACAATAATTATAATAGTGAGAATCATCGTTATGACATGCTTGTCTACTCTTCCAACTCTTCTACCTATGACCGATGCATTCAAAGGCTTGGGAGGTTTCCAGGCTATCTTCGCGGGTTGTCCATGTCTGCAGTCTGATACATCTGCAGAATTCGTCTCTCTGCTGTTTTGACGAGACAGGTGATGTCATTCCTTATGAGTATCTGAATAAGAGGTGAAACGCATTTCCGAGTGAGAACCGAAGAGCACTGTGCTTGCTAAATCCAAACTAGGACGAGTGCCGACAAGCAGTCAGTGCAGGGGAGCAAAGTGGCTCTTCCTGGAAGTCACGGAAATGGTCGCACTTCCCAAACAAATTGCGGGTTATTCGGGTTCGGTTTTGGCAGTCAATGAAGGCCACTGCGCTTGTCGCGACTAATCGTGTTCCCTGCGCGCTGAATTTGCATTGGCCTGCCGGGTATCCCCAATGGAAACAGCCTGATAAAGAATGACGAGTGATGGTCAATCCAGCCTGTCCACGACCCTCGGAAACCCTAAACCCTGAATCCGAAACCACCCCTGTCGAGATCATGCGCGGAAATGTTCTGAACTGAGAGATTCGGTGGAAAGGCCTTCCGGCATGCTGATGCAAGTGACTGAGGCAAAAGACTCGCTTAAACCCTGAAACTCGTAGCACTAACGGCAAGAACTTGCAGTCGAGATGCTGGGAAGTATTTCTTTTCAACCTGGCAAGCTTCACGCACTACTTGGTGTAACTCTCAAACCGGTTTAGGATTTAGAGCTTAGGGCCGAAGGCATTGGCAACACTATCACAGCAGTGATTTGAGGCGGCTACAACTTACAACTGCTGCAGTCTTCAGCAAGCACCACCGCGAGAACAAATGCCAATACTGTTACTGTCGGGTACTGTAGCTCGGGTAAGGATCCAGATAGAAACTCGCAGCCAGATAGAGTGTTATATAATGAGGAGCCCGTGGGCCTGAACTCTAAACCCTAAAACCCTAATGCCCTAAACCCGATAAACCCCCAAAAAAGCACGGACTTGCAGTGTATGCCGGCAGCGAAGCTCTAGGGCGGAAGCCTTCCTCAGTCACCCGGAAACCCTAACCCCTCAACCCTAAAGCCTCTTATGAAAACTCAAGCTTCTTCGCCTCCTGCTTGTGGGTAGCGCCTTCTGCGCCGTCGCTTTGGACGGTCCGAGGGAAGTCGGCGCCTCCGAGACTAAAACTACCACGGTGTAGGAAGGGTTTAGGGCTTTAGTGCAGGGTTTTAGGGGTTTCGGGTTCTATGAATTAGGTCTGTAGTGTTTTGGGGCTTAGGGTTTTAGGGTAAGGGGTTTAGTGTCGAGTTTGGGTTGAATGACGGTCGTCTGAAGTATTAGTCAGAGACTCCCAAATTTTCTCAGTGACTAAACCAGGGTTCCTCTTCAAGTTTGAGAGATACGTCGTCTTTCAGAAATGGGGTTTTGGAGTCTTTGAGTAGAGAATCTGGGGACCTAGCCTTTGTTCAGGGCCTCCGGGGTAGTGCATCTCTACTGAAGGCGTTTCGCCACCCGCCTAACTGACTGAGTCGCACTGGACGGGAAAACTGGAGAGTGGCAGGAGGAGGCCAAGCAAGCCCCTTGGGCCTTGGGCTACAGACAAGGCAGCGAGGAAGCAACAACCAACACTAACTGCGACAGTATAACATCTGAACGGAAAACCGAGTAGGGAGACACCTAAACTCCCTAAACCCTACTTGGAGGTTCATTGGTAGTTATAAGTTCTCTACTTATGACCCAACTTATAATTCCCCATCAACCTCCAAATAGCCAAAGCCATGCCAAATAGAACCCGAACAATCCCGTAGATGCCCTGAGCGGCATTCACCTCCTCAATGTGACACCGCCTTAGGGGTTCCATGTCGCCGAAGAGGGTTCAAGCTTCAAGGCCGTTACGTAGGGCTAGAAAGTTCACATTAGACAGTTCTCATCAGGGCTACACGTTCTTGGAAATCCCCGCTGCCGGTCGTCTAGCAACTTGCAGCGGGTTTAGGGCTTCGGGCGGAAGGGCATCGATTCATCGATCCTCACCGGGATAAACGGCTGCAAGCCATTCAGACATGTCTTCACTTTCGTGTTGAGGGTTTAAAGGGAAGTCAACATCTGGAGCACGGAAGACAAAACAGCACATGGGTGGTTGTCAAAATTAGGGTCCCTTCTTGGGCCCTTAATATAATACGGCACCTATTATTTAGGGTACCCACAAAGGGACCCTAATTTTGACAACCACCCACATGCCGATAGACCCTGCTTATCCTGTACTCCGGTATCACAGAATGCCACCACCTGGCCTTCGTCGAAGATTCTGCGCTGTTCGGGATCCAACAAGACCTTGTAGGCGTCAGCCACGCGCTGGAAGGCCACTGCGGAGCCTTCGGACGGCAGGACACAAATGCCGGCTTAAGCTACCAGAACCACCTTTGTTGTAGGTTCTTCTTGTAAGCCCTCATATATGGAATCTGAAATGACCTTGTGCATTCTTTGACTGTGAAAGGCTAAGGTACGCCTAGCCGCAGCGCCACAGACACGACCAAATCTAGCGATCTACCAGCCGCCACCCAACCACACAAACCTGAAACTGGCCCGGGTTGTAGATTGGGGGCCCTGAAATATTTTCGAATATAGGTGCTTCTATAGGAACCATAAGGGAAATTTTGAAGCTTCCCAAAAGTGCAACCTAAAGAAGAGGCCTCCGCGCTTGTCGGGATGAAACTGCAGACTTCTGCGCTTGTAGGCCCGCTTGAGCTCATCACTCTCGTAGTTATCCTGCCAAGGCGAGGTTACCAAGTTTCTGAGTAGCCCCTGTATCATTTTTCATAAGGGCACCACCTTTTTTCTACTATTCGGTTTTGATAAGGGGACCCTTATATGAGAAGGGCAAAAGGGCGATATATACTCTGGACTCTGGAACCTTGCTTCTAAGTTTCCAAGGTTCTAACCTGAGTTCCCCACGATGGAAAGTAATGCAAAGCAGGTACAGGCTAGTAAATGATACACTGGCGCACAGCTTAGCAGGCATAGCTCGATTACGATCCTGTCTGGGGCGGAGCTCCAGATTCTAAATTCACGTCGGAGCGATAGGAAGGCGCTTCACCCTTGAGCCGAATGAGTTGGGAGCCGGTTCCGGCTGCTGACCTCCATTAGCAACAATAGTATGGTCTTCTCTCATCTGTTAGTTTGTTCCCCCCCCCAAACGCTACCGTTGCAAAGTGATGCACAGTTTCGGACTACGGAGCTTGCAAGGAAGTTTGAATGCTACGAGCTGCTCGGTCTTGGAGCGTCCAGTCGGCCAGGACAGATGCACAATGATTGAAATACACTTCATCTGCACGATGAAGATGATTGTGCCTCCCCTTCCCTCTGGTATGCTTGCCCCTAAACCGTAAACCCCAAACCCTACTTTTGCTTTACAACCCTGCTTCCGGAACCCTAGCCTCGAAACCCTCGCTCCTGCAGACCCGACTAGCCCTAAACCCCCACACCGAAGTTCCCCCAACCGAAACTCCAAACCCCAGTTTCTGAACCGGTCCAAGTACCCTCATATGGTTTGAGGTTAAGGGCTAATGTTAAAGGCCCAGGCTTTAGGCCCTTCAGGCTTGAGCGTTTCAGGTCACGGGGGCAGCCAAACACTCCTGCGAGGATGAACCTGCAGCAGCTGCTTCTTTAAACCCTAAAAAACGGGGTACGTGGCACCTGTTGACGGCTTACTCGTCCCGTATTCTAGAGGAGCTATAAGGCTAACCATTGAATTAGAGTACCCCAAATTTGTTAAAGGTTACCTACTCTACTACTACGGTGGCAACTCTGGCGTCCTCCTGCCCTGGAGGTGGCCCTGGAAAATCACAGCGCACGCCCAGGACTTGGTAGTGGTTCGGATGACACCAGTCAGGCAAGGCACCTGCATATGGGTAGTTCTCTAAAGTAGGATTCCTTTTAGGGTCCTGTCTATAACGGTGCCGTACTGTTTTGGGAACCAAAAACGGGATCCTAATTTAGACCACAGGCCGTATCTCATGTTTAGGGTCTTCGGTTCAGGGTTTAGCACACCTGCACAGCGAAGTGTTTCCTCCTTTCGTTGGCTCATTTTCTAAGAACACTCATCAGTACAGACTGTATGTTTTTGGGATAGCGCACGGGCTTCGTCTTGAAGGTTTAGCTCAGAGCTCAGCGTTGAGAGCTTTGATATATACAGGGCCCTGAACTGGTCTAGGATATAGGTGCATAGGCTCTATACCCTTCTTATACTAAACCGATAGAAGCCCCTGTTCAACCCTTGGAGGAGCCGCACACACCTCTTGGGTACTGCTAGAGGAACCAACCAAAAACAACCTCGGAAAGAACCACACAACACCATCACTTGAGCTGCAAACACTGAACCCCTCAACCCTCCGCCCTGTCCAACACCCTAAAACCTTACCTCAAACTACCACAACCTACTTTCTTAAGGGTCGTACTCTAGACCGATAAACCCGGGGCCCTACAAAAGAGCGGCTGGTAGGTCAAAGTACACTCTAAACCCTAAACCCCTAATCCCGAAACCCCTACCCCTAAACCCTAAGCCTGAACCTCTAAACCCCTAGGCCCCTAAACCCTAAACTCTGAATCCTTAACACTCCCGCCACCTTCGCCGCGTAGGAGGGAGCACGGCTCGGCGTGAGGGCGCTTCCCGACCTTGTGCCGGAGGTACATGTCGCTTTGGGCTTCGCAGGGACTCCAATATCCCCAACTTAAGGAATATTTTACTTTAAGTTTTAGTAGGACCCCAAAAATGATGTAGGGAATATTCCTTAATTGAATGATATTGGAGTCACTGGGCTCTCCTGAACCCCCAAAGGTAAGTAGAACAATGGCCCAGCACCTAATACTTACCCAGGCTTGGCCTACGAGTTCAGGTTGCAGCCTACTAGTCAGGATCCCAGAGACTCCCATATCCCTTAATTACGAAATATTCCTTAAATCATAGTAGGGATCCTACAGTAATTTTAGGTATATTCCTGAATTAAGGCATATTGGAGTCTCTGGGTTTGGGGGTTCGGAGGCTCAACACCCCAAAACAAACAACACACAAGAAACCTGCACCCCAAACTATCCACCAGCAGCCTAGGCAAGACTTGAACCCCTACCTCCTCAGAGACCAGGGCGTCCAGCTTACTGTCTAACTCGGGTTGATGAATCCCGCAGCAACCCCAAATCCTCATCAAACTCTGAACCGTAAGCCCCTTATCCCTAAACCCTCTGTTATCGAACGCTCTGTTATTGAATCCTTATCTCACCAGCAGCCTCGGTCGCCAGGGTGGCCGCTTCGGGGGACAGCCGCGGGCCCTCGCCGGACTCCGCCTGTCCACAGGAAGCTGTGGTTTTTGGGGGCTTATGGTTTACCCGTAGCCGAAAGACCTACTGTTGTACTGCTGATGGACAAAATCCCGCATTAATTACCCATTATAAGGAACATGCCATAGTTCCCATAGTTTAGAGTCCTTAGGGCCATGCAGGATTTTGTCCATCAGCAGTAGGAATCCTTACTATTGTTTCTAGATATATCTCCTTAAACAGGTAGGTCTTCTAGGCCACAGGTACTGTTGATGATATAAATCCTGCATGACCCATAATAAGGAATATACCATGATTCCCACATATTCCTTATTATGGGTAATGCAGGGTTTATACCATCAACCGTAGGACTTAGGTTTTATGCTTAGGGCTTAAGGTTCGCAGAATTTTTGATGCTCGCGCTCGGACCAAGCAAGGCAAGGTGTGAGCAGGTTTCGGGTTTGGGGTCGGTAGGGTTGCAGGGCCTTAAAGGGATCTATAAGGGTTCTATAAAGGGTTGAGGGTTTAGAGTTTCCGAATATAAGGGGAGGGGTTAGGTTCGCGTGAAGGAACCGAAACTCGTTCGCTTGAAATATTGGTCTCTGAGCGTCTGATATAATCTGGCTGGCACCGAAAAACAGAATCGAGTGTTCTACACCATATACATGTCTGAATGCCCCGGCAAGATTTAAACAAATTGCAAGAGGTACATTCTTGCTTTCGTTCTATGAGGGGGGGTTTGGGGTGGAACCCGCGTGCCCGCTCAGCTGGGTCTAGGATTCAGGCGGCTAAGGGGGTCTTTAGGAACTTTAGGGCTAAACAACACCTGCAGATCAGGACTCTCCTCTTGAAAGCACTGCTTCACTTGCCTGCTGTCGCTCGATACACTTCTGGGCGCAGGTGAAGGGCTCGTGGGCCTGGAAGCTCCACCAGCTCCAGCAGCCCAAAGTTAGTAGGGCTGAGTGTCTAAAGGCGTCGGGAATTATACTTCTGTGTCCTTCACGTCATTGCGCACGGCTACAGTTGCTATTAGTTGCTATAGTTTAGGGTTTGGGGTGCAGGGTATTGGGCATAGATAGGTTCCAGGCTTCGGGGTCTAATAGAGCACATAGCTTTACAATGCAACTTTCCGGTAGACGTGTTGGAATTTCCGTAAGGTACACTTGGGCAGCTGTGAGACAGTGTTGCACTGTTGGGCAACGGCTTGCAGAATAAAAGGAACTCAAACGCACTTTGCTTCAGCAATTGGGTGTGTCTCCACCTCAGCGTCCAGCTAAATATTTAAATGTAATGCGAGAAAGTTAGTGGCTAGTGAGTCGAATACGAGTAAGTCTGGGCCCTTGACATATCCTTAAACCTGCACACTCGTAAAAGAGCAGTGCTCGCATCAAACGATACCCAAAACTTCACTGCTCCTGCACAGGACAAACCGAAGAGAACACAGGGTAAGGACCCGAACATGTACACAAAGCAGCAGGCTAATCGGACCTACGAGCAAGGGGGTTTAGGTCAAGATCCCTGTGCCGCAATGCGATCTACGGGGTCGGAAGGCTCCAGGCTTTAGTGACTGTAGTGATCAGGAATTTAGGGTTTACGGCTCCGGATCACCACCAAAACGCTACCAGGCGGCTACCTCAGCCAGCAACCCCAACCGTCTCTGCAACAGTTCTCCAAAGCCCATTGTGCTAAACCATACACCCCCACGCCCAGGGAATCCGAAACCCACATTGCAATGCGATCATACTGGGAGTGTCTGAGGGTTGATGTTAATTCCCCAGCTGGGGTTTTCTCCGTCAAGCCGAAACCCAACAATACTATAGGGGCCTTAATAATTAGAATAAGTTTTGGGGGCACATTACACTAACAGTATAATAAGGAGCCCCCCAAGATAGTATAGGCAACTATTACAATGACTACGGCCCCTATATTACGTGAAAGCTGGCGGACAAGGGTCGCATCCACTCTCGGCAGCGCTGCCATGTGCACCTGGAGCACCCAGGCCTTCACCTCTGTGCATGTTGGATTGATGAGGCAAGGGTGGGGCCTGTGAATTCTTACTTTATATCGTCACCAATCACCAATGCTCCTACTGCTGCTGTGGTCAGTTTGCAGTTATTAAAGCAGTTGGTCTCGTCCTCTTCATTAGCCTTGCTTTGACTCTTGGTGTTCTTCTTGTTTGACAAACAGCATTTCCTACTAGCCAAAACTCTCCTATTGCCCTATGCCTCCGGGGACCTTATTATGGGGTAGTTAAGGGGTCTAGGGCCCTCACTATGAGGTCCCTGGAGGGATAGGGCGGATAGGGTTGGCGTTCGGCAATGATCGCGAGTAGCCGCAACAGCCCGAAGCCCTAACCTGTTCAAGAAGAACGCCAAGACTGGCTTCGAGACCTCAGGCATGCAAGCAAGTCTCAAGGCATATGGCTTGCAGGCTCTAAATATGAGCTTCTTCGTGGCAAGAGCTGTTTGCCGATATTGAAACGATGTGTTGAACCCAATGGTGTGCTGGGCCGACCTAAAACGATGTGTGCGGTGGGCCGGTGTATCACGACATGCTGTAATAGCATGCATTCTCATAAATGCTGGCCCGAGCCGAAGAGATGCTTTAAGGCACTGCCAAAGGCAAGCCATGGGGGTTCATGAAGTATCTTCTGCATTGCCGGTAACAACCCAATTATGCACCACCAACACCCAAATGTCAACTCTGCAGCAAAGAACAATACGAATAAATGTACTAGGTTTACACTGCACTTCCCTATACACCTATCAAGGCACCCTTCATCTAGAATTACCTCAGGAATAGGCTTGGGAACATTCAATAAGACTTGAAACAAGAGTGTTTTCGGCGTTGACGCTTTCATTTCTTGGAGGCTTAGACAATGCTGGCGCGCAGGCTGCGGCAGGTCGAGCTCTTTACTGTTTCCCGGCAAGTTAAACATTCGGAATGAGAGAGCAGCCAGCTAGGAGTTTGGGGGGGCAGAGCACTTGGAGTTTTGTGGCTTTGGGATTCGGATAGTTTCGGAAGTTTGCCATAAAACATCCTGGTCGCACTGGCAGAAGCCAGAGGCACCTCTCGCCTCAGTAGCTGCGAGATTTGATGCTTAAGGTATTTGGGTTTTGGGCTTGGCACTTCTTGTCGTGGTTTCATGTCAAAGGCTGATTTCTGGAGGACCGGGGGACTTCTCGACTAGGCTTTCTTTATTTGCTTCAGCATTCACAACATGCAAGACTGACAAGACTGAACCCACAAAGCTTGCTAACCTTCAGCCGGAGGCTTTCAGAAATCCGAAGGCCCCCAACCCCGGCAGCAACTGGAATTTTGTTCCGAAGTGAACTCCTTGAAAAGACCCTTGCGCAAGTAGCTACTACATGTGTGCTAGCTGTGTGAGGTGTGTTCGTAGTTTACGCACGACGGCACCGCAAAAAGAGACCTAGTTCAGAGCAGTTAAGCCCGTCTTTGACCTGCAGAGCCTTCAGGTCTTCGTAGTTCCACGTACACCCGGCGCGTTTAGGGTTTTGGGGATAGGGTTTAGGGGTTTCGGGTTTTGGGGATTGGGTTTAGGGTTTAAGGTTCTTCCCTGAAGCCTGAACCCTAAATCCAAGTGGCAATCATCTCTGTGCAGGGCTTGTCTGATCCTGGCTCCAACGGGCCAGTCGGAGAGCAAGCGCCTGTCTGGCGCCAGGCCACACAAAGCTTCGTGCGGCCCTTGGTTGCCCCAGGGGGCTGGAATCAGTTTTAGGAATCAAGGGCTTAGGAGGACATCCTGTCTTGAAGCCTGGGGCTTAGCCTTCAAAGAGTTGGTGGTGCGGGATTCAAAAATTACGGTTCAGGGATGTAACCCTGCAGCGCCAGTCAGCGTAAGGGCAATGGTTTAGGGTTTTAAGGCTTTGGGGCTTTGGGTTTACAAGGCGCAAACTCAGTAATGCTGTAGCCAGGTGATGAGTGAAACAGGTAAACTCCCAACCCAGCTCCGATGCAATCCGTGAGTGAGATCCTGAATCAGTGTCCGACACCGTTGCACTCTATCCTTTCGCTCTGCCCGAAGTCCAGAATACATCAGCATGAGCATGGGAAGTTATACATGCCTGCATGCACACATAAGGATACATACAACTCCACAGATTTACATGTGGGTGCACTCATATATACATATGTGTATATATATATATATATATATATATATATATACACATATATATATATATATATATATATATATATATATATATATATATATATATATATATATATTTATATATATATATATATATATATACACACACACTCTCTCTCTCTCTCTCTGATGCACATGTTGCAGCTAAACTGTAAGCTTGTTTCCTGCCTCTCTCCTCCGCTCCGAACCATCGAATTCCCGGGGGAGCCTACAAGAAGCCCAAGTCCGACGTATGAAGACTCTACTAGGCTGTTCAGTAACCCACTGGGAAAGAGTATATACTTTTTAGGCTTCGTAATTTTATAATAGGAACCCAGAAACCTACTAGACCTAAGATTAACCTAGGAATAAAAAGGGTGCCCTTTTTGGTTTAAAGGGGTTTATAAGGGAACCTGAACCCTCAAAAAAGGGAATAAGGGCCTACTCTGGGTCCTAGACTAGGCTGTTCAGTAACCCACTGGGAAACAGTATATACTTTTTTAGGCTTCGTATTTTATAATAGGAGCCCAGAAACCTGAAGTAAAAAGGTGTACCACTGAACAGCCTGGTCTAAGCAGCAAATGATCCAACTAAGGGCATCGCCAGGTTGCGAATCCTATGGCCTACACATGGGTGGTCGTCAAAATTATGGTCCCTTTTTGGGTACCCTAAATATTAATTAGGTGCCGTGTTCGAACAGCACCCCAAAAAGGACCATAATTTTGACAACCACCCACATGGAACTTGAACCCGCTTTAGCCCCTCGACACTTCATCCCAACTTTCGGCATGGAGCTTCATTGAGGGTTGACGCTAAGGATTCAAACGAGAGATTAGGGTTTACTGTGGGCATTGCGGCAGAAACTGGTTTGCATTTGGGGTGGGGGTTGAAGGTTTAGCAACTTACCCTGCTTGCGGTTTTGTGACGGTTGGCGGCTGTCGCTTTGCCGAAGCCGGGTAACGGAAAGAACCGCTGGCTTCTCACTGGGCGCTGTGGCATCAGCTCGACGAACCAAAGTGGCAGTGCGCACTAGCCAGTCGCTCACAGTGGACCATGTTCCTGGCTGAAACTCCGTACATCGTAAACAGTGGTTGGCTGAGATCCACAGCGCTTGCCACTATGAGTACAAAAGCTTTGAGTGGCTTTAGTTGGCTTGAGCGGGTACCTAGAGGCTCCATAGTAGTTCCTTTTTGGGGTTCAAATTTTGAGTTCTACAAGGTAATCCCAAGAAGGAACTACTATGGAGCCTATGGGTAGTCTCACGGGCATGTTGTAAGCTGGTCAGGTCGGAGGCTCTACGTTTTGAGGGTTTCCGGCTGCAGGGTTTGTAGTATTGTAGTAATACAGTAATGTAAATATGGGAATGTAGGATTATCTCCTACGTTCCATCCTACAGACAACAGGACGCTAGGTCGAGCCACCCAGGCCAGTGCAAGTGCTAGTGCTTATTGCATCGCATGCGAAATCCAAAGCCTTAACCAGAACTCTACAAATCTACAAACCAGCATCTTTCTCTCAGTCAATCCGCGCGACACAGAAAAAGCGATAGAAGATGCAGCAGCAAATAGAACAACTATCACCAAACAGCATGGGTCAAGTCATATCTTTTACAACGCCTCAGACAGCTGCCTGGACAAGCTGCCGATTTCCGTCAGCGCCCCGAACCCGAAACAGTCAAACCATCCCCCGACATGCAAAGCCTCTAAACCTCCAGCCGTCCACGTTCACAAAGCGCAAAGAGATAAACAAACAACTTGCAGAATAGTACAATCGTGCAAAGGCCCCATAACTTTAAAGGTCGGGTGTTTGGAACTTATGCAACCCCATACAATCTTTAAGTTAGGCAGCCCTTGCGAACCTTCGAGAACTTTTGTTGCTCATAAAGGTCTTCCTTATTCGTATGACCATGTTTGGTGCCACTACAACCCCTATGCAATATGGTTACGGTTACTGATACAACGGTTGCTGTACAGAATTTAAACAATGCTATTGTCAAGGGTCACAGTGTTGTGACCACTATTGTTGCTATTATTGTTATTTCTGCTGTGGCTTCTACTGCAATCCAACCAGCTCGAAAAAGAAAACCTGCAACACCCGACCTGGTTGCTGAACCCTTATAACACTCCACACCCTCCTCAGTATCGAAGCCTCGGTTAAAACCAACACCAGCTGCTCTTAGGAGCCCTCAGCCCTCAACCCTAATGTGGGGGCCTTACTAATAACTATAGCGCCTTGGGGCCCAGTCTACGATGATTAAGATCGGGAGTCCGCCCCAAAATAGTAGCTAACTGTGTAGGGCCCTATATCAGAGTGCAGGGTCTTGGGATGCTCGGAAGAGCCCAAGAGTCGGTCCACTCGTAGGAGCGTTTCGAAGGTGCGCAGTGACTGCCTGAGGAAGCAGGCAAGCGAGTTAGAAAAAGGGCTTCACTCTTAGCGGTTTAGAATTTGGTATGTTACCCTAGGGATCTAAGGACTCATATATTAGGGCTTTGCCGCCCAAAGACCATAATATTTGAGGCTTTTGGGCTATTTTGATGCCTTAGGCTGTCAGCACTCGCTTTCCGGACTGCCGTTCTACAAGGGTTTACGGTTACCAGACCCACTTCTCCGGGCTGACGGGTTGGCATGCTCCGGGTTTAAGCATTGCAGATACTACTGGCTATAAGCACTACCACCTCAAGAGTCAAGCAACCGTTAATAGAACCCTGATGCATCCCTTAGAGGAACCCTTCTGAACCACGGAATCTTGTCAGATGCACTCCATCGCAAAGCCGAGGCACGCATAAAGGCCCATATCCTCGGCTGAGTCAAGACCAGATGGGTTTCGACACGCACACTCGCTGACGCAGGCACGGCTTCGAGGTCCCAGATGGGTTTAGGGTTTAGGGGTTTAGGGTGTGTCCACGGACCCTTGCGAGAAAGATCGATCTTCCGTCTTTCAGATTTCTGGAACAGACCACCCCGAAACTCCTTTTGTCTTGTATAAAGCTCTCACAGAGAAGTCTCGACATAGATACCAATGCTATTTTCGGGGTTGCATATTACATTTATAAGATAATGGCCCCAAAATCCTATTCGAATTACTAAGGCCAATATAAATCATAGAACCCTACTATAGATCCCTTATAGATCCCCTTCTCAAGGATCCCTTTAAAAGGAACCCTACTTCCAATTATTAAGGCCCTTACGTTAGCATGCTTCCGCATGGGAGGTCTCCGGGAAGGGAGTGCTCGCAGTCTCGGCGCTGGGGCTTGCAGGAATAATAGTCACAGGGGCTGAGTACCCTAGCCAAAAAATGCTAAGCTTTTCAATTATGGTAGAATTTTGCAAGCCCCAAACATTGCAGGAAGCTGCTACTAACCTTGGGTCCACAAGGTGCTTTCAAAGGAGCGGGTCCTAATACGGGCGCCCTGAAAGACGTGGGGCTTGTCACTCAGGCGTCTACGTGAGCGCTGAACCCCCAGGCCCTATAGCCCGCAAGAAGTGCCGAATACTGCGGCAGGAAGAAAGTTCGTCGTACTTCTATCTGACATCTTCGTCTTGAGCACCGTCCCAAACCCCTTCGTGGACTCCTCCAGCGAAGTGTTTGGTCCGGAACTTTAGCATTGCAAAATTTTATTCCAATCCATGCCAGTCCAAATACCATAGCCTGTGCCCCTTGCATGATCAAATGTGATCGCGGCGAAACTGTAATCCTTGCGATGTATGTATATAACTATACCTGGTATATGGGATACCTCGCATCATGGTCTTACCCTCGTCACAAGAACAGGTATGTACCTCAACTGTTGGGCTTTCGGGGAACAAGGATCAAGTTGAAGTCTTCCAAGTTCATCGAGGGCAGCCGCATAGCGAGGGAACAAGTCAAGTGCGCCACGGACAGCCTGGTCTGTGCGTGGTTTTAAGCCTTCCGGCTCTTCCCTATCTGCTTCATTTTCTGGAAGGCCTTGGAGGACATGGGTTTTTGTTAATAGGAACCCTTCTCAGTTCCACAAAAGAAATAGTCTGGTGGACAACCCAAAGTCAGTATGACTCCCAGTTCGAGAGAAACACCCGTGTTTGACCTTTGACTCCACGAGAGCTCCTTAAGTCCCAAAGCTCCCAAAGTCCCAAAGCTTGGCCTGGGTTTAGGGTGTCGGGTCAAGGGTTTCCTTGGAGGGGCAGGGGACATAGTAAGTAGGTTATAAGTAGGGTTATAATTGGGGCAACTCCAGTTAGGGTACTTATAACTCTACTTGTAACCTACTTACTAAGTCCCCTGCCCTTCCAAGTAGGGTTTGCCAATCTTGAAGGGTTTGGAGTTTATCAGGTGCCACTCTTGCATCGAAACGAGAGATACCTCTGGCTTCTGTAACAGCTGCACATCCTCCGCCTTGGTTTCTAAAGCCTGCAAGCTTATGACCTCATTCCCCGAACCTCACCCATCAGTTTAGAGTTTAGGGTTTAGGGTTTCCCTAAACCCTAAACCCTAAACAACCCAAAGGAAATCCCAGAAACCCCCTAAAAATCCGCAGCCGGCCTTCTCTGCGGCTTCGAAGTCCCGGCTCCAGCGCAGGCACGCAGCGACACGCAGCAACAAGGCCGCTAGAGCCCAATGGTCCTGCAACACCCGGAGCAGGGCCCTTGTTCAAGCTCATTAGGGGTTTTAGGGTGTAAGGCTTAGGGTAAGTTAACCCTATTATTCATGATCGAACAAGCGTTGCCAGTGCGAAGCGTCCAACAGCTATACCGTTCACCAGCACACAGTACGTGAGTTGCAGAATCAGGAGTATTTTGCACAACTTGCACACCATCTGTCCAATCACATATTCAACGCTCGGCTGACTCTGGGTTTCCAGGCATTGCCACCACCGTCACCATCGACATCATCAAAATCCTCGCCGTCATCGTCATCAAGCTCATCAGCTGCCAAACACAAGCCCTGCCGAGATTGGCACGGGCCTCAATTGTTAGAATCGGGCTTTGGGGACCATTATACTTATGGTTACAATAAGGAATAGTCTAGGAACCTCTCGAGGCCCCTATCTTAAAACCCTCCACTCTGAAGCCTGGCATACACGCACGACCCTTTTCGTGACCCGTAAACCCTAAACCCTGTGCCGCAGGTCCTTGGCAGCCCTGGCTTTCTGAAGCTCGGCCTTTGCCACTCCGGCGTTCCGGGTGCAGGAATTTTGATTTTTTTCGGAATTTGTCTTCCCTCCTACCTAGTTTTTCGGATTTAGGGTTCAGGGTTTTGCGTTTAGGCTGACCTTCTGCAGTAACCACACAGATTCGTAGTCACCAGTTCTGCTATACCTGTTTGGCTTGATAGCTGATGCCGGCAGACTTGGCAGACGCTATGTTCCTAGTTTTACCTTCTGGACTGGTGCCTGCGAGTCTACCTATTGCACAGTCAAAAGCCATGAACAGCTGCGATTTCTGATTTGCACGGATACAACATATGATACGGCTGAGTAGTACAGTTCTCGGCCACTGCTGGCATGCATTTAGTATGTGCCAGTTACACATTTTTGCGCAAGCGGCGAGTAGCAGCCTTCTATCGCCAGGATGACGACAGTGTCATTCGCAATTCTCTTAGAGTAGCATTTGCAGCTTAGCAACCGGACAACGTGTCCTGACCAGTAAACACAAAGGCGTCCAGCCTCCAGCAGACCCACAGGCACAATAGCCATCGCCGTAAATACTATACCCCACTCTTTTGCCCGCAAACCGCAGCTCATCCCTCAAAACCCACCTGGCCTGTGCTTCTGAAACCGAGGCCACTCCTCACATCGATTTCCACGACATGACTCTTGCTGAGTCTCCCGATTTCGACACTTCCGGTCTTGGGTTTAAGTGTTTCGGGTTTACTTAAAGGATCATGGACTTAGTAACCAGGGTCATAGATAGGGTAACTATACTTATAACTACTTATAAGCCCAATTAAGGTACTTGAAACCTTACTCACTAAGTCCCATGATCCTCCAAGTAGGGTCTTTGTGTGTTTCCTGGGCCGGCCTACGGTGCAAAGAAGACAGCACACAAAGCACATACTGCTTGTAGCCTGATTCTTGCAAGAACCTGGGCCTGGCGTGAGTAAACTCAAACAGCAACACACCCAGAACTGCTCGATACCCCCGTAAGATCCAGAACCTGAGGTCCTCTGCGTCCTACCCTCAGACACCCCGAATGAGACTCTTCCAATATTCCGGCTTGTTGCTGTGTGCGGGCTACCGCCCCCGGTACTTTCGGGGTTGAAGGCAAGGCCCCCCCTGCTTCCGCATGCCAGCAAAAGTTTCGGGTCAGGTGCCGGACATTTTCGTGCCTGGTTTGCCTAAAAGCAAGTTGTCCAAAAACGCCTTGAAGGAGCTGGACTGTGTTTTGGACAAGTTGCGTTACCAGCAAGCCGATTTCAAGAACCTCTTCTTGGATCCGGGCACGTCCAGCAAACGCCAACCGGAGCATGCTGTGGCGGTGACGCCCTGCTTGCGTCCGACGGACTCGGTTTGGTGTAACCAACATGAGAGGTTCTCTGGATCCCGTGAGGTTGCACAATGCCACTATGCATACGTCTTTATAAGCGCGTACAGTGTATTAGGGTGCGTGCTCAATCTTTCTGCGCTACAACCTGAGCCCCAAACCGTGAAGCTCTGCGAGAGAGACTTGCTTGCAAATTATGCACACCCAGGAGATATGCACGATCTTGTATACCATCCTTTCAACTTCTAGCTCTAAACCCACAAAACCTACCTTTTTAGGGACATATATACAGAAATCATAATAGGGGGCCCTAAAAAGGTAGGTTCCTTAGGGTGCAGGTAGCTCTAAACCTTGTAACCTCAATCCTGCACGTCCTTCTGCACATCCATCCGGGCCGTCTTCCATCGCCAGAGCCGCTTGTGGGAGGTCTTTGCCTTCCTCGGTGCTTGCCGAACATTTGAGCCAACAGGGTTTAGGGTTTAGGTTATAGTTATAGGGTTTAGGGGGTTTTGGGGTGTCGTTTTTTTGCTAGCGTCCCACATTGCAAATTGAGGGAACGTGGAACGGCCGGACGAAAGCGAAGTACGACATACACTGCTAGATGTATCCAAGCTTGAAGGCACGACATGGCAATGTCAGTCGAGCAATAGGTCATTGGTCCGGCGCGTATGCGACTGTCATCGCAAGGAGTTTCTACCACCAGAGTAGCGGTGGAAGTTCCACATGCAAGTCACGCAAGCAGTCAGTTTTGGCTCCCAAACTCCATGTGGCAGGAGGTTATCCGTAACTGCGATTCTTCGGGATCAAGCTGTCGGTCCGTGACTTTACGGCAGACGGGTTCCATGGCTCCGGCCTCAGAACCCGGCACCCAGGCCTTAACCCTTATACACCCGACAAGCCCAGCAAGCCCCAAAGGCAAAACCCAGTTTCGGCAAGTGGGGATCTGTCAAGATACTTTCTGGGGTCCAAGACCCGGTCCTCCCTTGGTATAGGTTTAATGGTTATATAGGGGGCTTGAGGTTTAGAGGAGTGTGAGGTTCAGGGTTTAAAGGAGTTCAGAGGTGAATGCCACAAGCCGAAGCGAGCCGAATACGTTCTGCAAGATATTGGACGGCTTTGGGAGTTTCCGGAAATTTGGGGTACCTTCTTTTGGGGTCCCCATAATAGGGGTCTTATTATTTAGGGTACTATATTGGGGTCCCCTGTTTTCGGACTTTCCCATATGGGGTGCAGATCGTGGAAACATTTTCTACAAGGAACATACTGTCGAAGGTCTTTCGTAGGGGAGCCTTGACTCACTACATTTTCGGAAATTGAAATCTTACCCCTGCCTACTGAGCTGGTAGCTCTACCCAGGCACTGGTGGAGACGTTTGCAGGCCCATACCACCCATTGGCCTTGGGTATGGGATTTGCGGCATGATCGGGGACCCCCAAACCGCTAAACACTAAGCATCACTAAGCCACTAAACCCTAAACCCCTACTGCTAAGCCGTTTCTTGCACCCTGGCCTCTGTGCAGACCCTATAGTAAAAGCCAGAAAGTTGGAATATCATTATCGTAACCCCTTTATGGAAAATTATAGGGGATCCTACCCTGAAACCATATTCCAACTTTCTGGAGTTCCCTTTAATCATAGGGATCCTTAGGGGTGTAGGGGGGAGGGGTGTAGGGGACTATATTTCCTTAAATAGGCCTTATTAGTCCTTATTATGGGCCTTAAGGCCCCCTACCCCCCCCCTCCCCCTACACCCCTAAGGATCCCTATGATTTAAAGCGATTTAATCAGAACCCAGAGATGACAAGCCGAAGAAGGCGGACTGCTTCGTACGACCAACCCAGGCCAAGGTGAGACGCTCTGATAACTCTTCTAGGGTTAATCTATGACCATGGATACCATGATTATTGTAGTTATCTTTACCAGTGTTAGTACTATTCTTATTATTACTATTATTTTTATCATTATTATTGATTTTTATTATTGGTTATTATTCTTGAATTATTATTGTGCTCGTCTTTCTAAAAGCAGCATCTTCATCAACTTCAGGCTTCAAGGCGGCACCTCGCATGTGCTCATCATCAGCAACCCCATCCTCATGCCCGTCGGCATTCTGAGGAGACTAGAATCCGTCCTGTCGCATCACCGAGTCAAAGTCTGCAGAGCTTGTAGGGCTTCCCCTGAACCCCGAAGAAATGTGGAATTTTTGGCAAGGAGTCCGAAAAACACCTGGGGTTTCTTGGGATCCGGGTTACCCATAGGCTCCACAGTAGTTCCTTTTTGGGATTACCTTATAAGATTCTTATCATGAGCCCCAAAAAGGAACTACTATGGAGACTATAGGTAGAACCCATTCCGGTTCTAGAGAGGGCCTTAGTCCAGGGTTGCGGAGCGTCTTGTATTGTAGTGTAAGTATAAATAAATAAATAAATCAATAAATAAATAAATAAATCAATAAATAAATCAATAAATAAATCAATAAATAAATCAATAAATAAATAAATAAATAAGTAGATATATATGTATATATATATATATATATATTTTTTTTTAAGGGGACTATCCAGAACTACTGTGACTAAGTATTCAAGTCCCTAAGTACTGAGTTTATGATAAGTACCGGAAAGCCACGAAAAGGTCGACTCATGGCGACCGCCATAATGCGCTATGGACTATGGTTCTGCCTAGCAACACGCGCCCAGAGATAGTAGGATCTCTAACAGGACTTATGGAATAGTCCTTAAGTGGGTGGTTGTCAAAATTATGGTCCTTTTTGGGGTCCCCTAATATCGTACGGCACCTAATAATTAGGGTATCCAGAAATGGACCCTAGTTTTGACAACTACCCAAGTAAGGGATATTGGAGTCTCTGGACAAGTCGAGCATACAAAGCAGGGAGCTGACCCTTTACGATCCGGAAAATCGCCCGATGCCTGAGAAGCAGGACGTGACGTGGTGGCCTTAATCACCAACATTTATTTTGGCGGCTCCTGATTAAAATCATAGTATAATGGGCCCCAAACCCTATTCTAATCATTAAGGCCCTTATATTACTTACTAGGCTCCAAAATCCGAAGCCCCACAGCTTCAACCCCTGCCCGAAGAACCCGAAGAGCCCTAAACTTTTGCAAGAAGCCTTTACCAGTCCCTACACACTAAACCCAAAAGCCCCTCTCTCTGTCTCTCTCCTAAACCCTGGTCCCTAAACCGCAAAAAAAATCCTTAGCACCTTTTTGTGCATCGGGACTTGTACAATCGCCTGAATTTTTGAGCAACACGGGACGCTCGGGTCTCATGACTGATCCCCCATGCCCGGCTCAGAAAAGCGCGCTGGAACAAAGTCCCTGAACCCTAAACCCCTAAACCCTCAAGCCTTAAATCGCATGCATCTACATACGCGCTGGAACAAAATCTCTAAACCCCCAACTTAAACCCCTATAAACCTTGAAGCCCTAAACCGCACCTACATACCGTGAGCAGAAGGATGGGCGAGAAACAGAGGCGGCAGATTCCGGCCCTCGATGGCATTTTGAACCTCAGGGGCTTTTCTCAACCTCAGGGGCTCTTAAAGGGCTCCTTAAAGGGATCTATAGGGTTCCTTAAAGGGGTCTATGGGGTTTAGGGTTTAGGGTCTACTTGGAAGGGCAGGGGACTTAGTAAGTAGGTTATAAGTAGAGTTGTAAGTACCCTAACTGGAGGTACCCCCAATTATAACCCTACTTATAACCTACTTACTAAGTCCCCTGCCCCTCCAAGTAGGTCCTTGGGCAGAGTTCCCAAGCCCAAAGAAGGTTCACCATTTCAATTATGGTAGGGTTACATAAACCCGAAAAGGTTAAAGGTTACTTGCTCAGCTACTAAAGTAAGGAATGCACACCCCTTCTCACAATGACCCTAAACCCTAAACCCTAAACCCTAAACCCGCAGTCGACATTTCCGCCAGTCACCCTTCTGTATGCAGGTCGCCTTTCAATCGGATATTACGGCCAACGTGCCGGCTGCTTCCACCGGGCCTGCAGCCTGGAAGCCAGTTGCCAAAGTGAGCGGGCCCAGACCGTGGTGGGCAGTACAAAACCCGGCTCCAGTGCCAGAACCTCCAGTTCAGCCTGTGTCGGGTTGGGCCCTGCTTACTCATGAGCTTAACCGTGGGTTCTCCGAGGATCTCCCTGGCTTTTGGAGCCGCCTCGTTGAGATTGGGGTTGATTTCGGTCTTTGTTATGATGATTGCCCCCTCACGATGACTTGCCATAAAAGCGGTGGCATACTGGGATGTGCATTGCAGGCAAGTGAGAAATTTTGTGCAGGCCAATATGGCACTGTTTCATGCAAAGCATGGACAGCTGCTGTACACGGCCACCATGTGATTTTAGCGCCCAAGGGGGCCAAGATCACTTTTCAGGTTCCTCACGAGTGGGAGCCATGCCTTGCCTGTTTGCGGTAAGGCCCAGGACGCTTTGCATGACAGTGTGCACCGTGAGGTTCAGTCTTCTGCCAAAAAACCCTAAACCCTAAACCCTAAATTCGTTGGGTTTACACTCCGCGTGTGGCTCTTCCACAGCGTGTTTGGGACCCCCTAGTCCCTACTTGGAGGGTCGGTGGACTTAGTAACCATAAGGGGGTCCTTTAAAGGGGTCCTTTAAAGGGATCTATAGGGATTCTATAAGGGTTTAGGGTTTAGGGGGACTTAGTAACTGGTCATTTTAGGGACTTAGAAGTACCATAACCCCAATTAGGGTCCCTTTTAGGGTACTTATAAGTCTACTTATAACTTTACTTACTAAGTCCCCCGACCCTCCAAGTAGACATGTGCTCTCGGATGGCGGGTGTACAATACCTACTCTCCAGCATACGGAATGGGGGAATGGCTTATAGGGACTACCATAGGGGACGATCGTGACTATCACTATAGGGATCGGTTCTCCTATTCCCTACTAAGAACCAGGAAGTTTTGCCGGCAGGGCTGCAAACTTCGTTCGGTCCGTACGGCTTCAGAACTGCGGCTTCTAGGTACGTTAAGGGTGCATGCGAAGAACTCACACACTTCCGGCGAGGATGTTTGTTGCATCGTGCTGAGGATAAGTTGAACCACATTTAAAGGCTGTCTTGAGTCTTCCATCAGAAACTCCGGTGGCGGATTCACAGTGGCAAAGTTCGGGGTTGGAGTTTAGGTCAGAAACCTCGATCTCTGTCACAAGTGAAGAGGGGCACAGGTTCCGCATACACTCGAGAGAAAACGCTCCCGAAGCCCATGCAAGCCGATCCCCAGGCCCACTGAAACTCTCGGCAAAGGGCTCCGCAACACAAGCAAGCCTGACCAACCCTACACCCTACAACACTACATACAGTAGAAGCCAGAAAGTTGGAATATGATTATCGTAACCCCTTTAAGGTAAGTTATAGGGGATCCTACCATCAAACCATATTCCAACTTTCTGGAGTTCCCTGTGCACCTTCAAACACCCATAACTCAGGAGGCCTCGTGCTTGTAGAAGGCGAAGTATCTCTTCAGCTTCTGCAGCATGTCGAGGCCCTTGAGCAGTCACCGGCTTTAAAGGCTTAGAGTCTACAGGGTCTTGGGGTTTAGGGGGCAGAGAAACACCGTGTTTCGGGGAACACACTGTTAAACACTTTAGGGTTTAGGGTTGAAGGGTTTAGGGTTTAGGACAGTATTACGCCACAGCCCCCCAAAGCCCCAGGCAGCTGAAGCCTTTTGCTGCCAAGCGTCGTTGATGCCAACCACCTGCCAAGGTAGCTCTTCCTCGTCATCCTGCAGTCGCGTTTAGGGCTTAGGCTTAGGGGATTTGGGGTTTAGGGTTTAGGGGTTTAGGGTTAAGCGGTTTTGGGTTTTAGGGAGGGTTCTGGAGTATCCTAGCCCCAACAAGGTTAACCTTTCAATTCTGGTAGGGTATATTCTACAAACCCTGAAAGGTCAAAGGTTACCTGCTCAGCTACTAAGTAGTCGGGCTTCCGGTTTAGAGTTTCGGAAGGGGGGGTTGAGCGTCTCAGGGTCAGGGTGAGGGCTTTCCCTGTTAGAGGGTTTAGGGTTTAGGGTTTAGGGCTTAGGGCTTAGGGTTTAGGGCTTAGGGCTTAGGGTTTAGGGTTTAGGGTTTAGGGTTTAGGGCCTGTTAGAGTTTTTTTAGTGAGCCTTTTACCCAAAGAACCAGCGTAGTGGGCTCCTTCATAGCCTACTTGTCGGGTAGCATGGGGAACTAAAGGTTAACCTCTTTGGTTATATAGGGATTATGTAGGGACTATACTAGCCAAAAAGGGCTAAAGGTTACCTACTCTACCACTAGGATAGAACTTCTGTGTAGAGATCCTGAGCACGGTAGGGTCTAGGGTGGTCGATGCTTACGAGAGGCTCTGCACTACCGGAACCAGAATGACCCGGGAAGCACTAGCCATTATGCATTATTTGCTGTGCATCAGCAGTCGCTCCAAGCCCTGAACCCTAAACATCTGGGTTTCATGGGGGCGCCGCGTTCGGACAGAAGTGGAGGCAAGTGGTGTGCTACACGGCAAGTTGTGTCTGTCCACTGAAGAGACTGCACAATTCTGAAGAATCCAGGCGAGGTCTATCGGGTGTAGTCGGTCTGAAAGAATTGTTGGCCTTCGGGTTTAAGGCTTTAGGCATCGACAGCCCTAAACCCCAAGCTCCAGCTCAACGCGGCCACGGTCCGAGGTTCAAAAACCTAGGTCCGTGACCTCCTCCGCTGCAGCCACAGAGGTGCCAGCCTGCAGCACAGCTTGGGGCTTTTGTCCTTTAGGTTTTCAAAGGTGGGAGTAGAGTGTCAGCTTTTTGAGAATTCAGGGTGCAAAGCTTTAATGTCTCGGGGTGCGGTGCTTCTCGGGCTTTCGAGGCTTTACGACGAAGGACTCGGGCTAAGCTTAGCACTTAGTAACGGTTTACATAGAAGCCTGAAACAAGACCAATGCTACTGAAAGCTATTGTTCGTCAAGGTTCCCTGGTGTCACTGTGCATGTAAGGCCCATGCCAATCCGGTCCAGTAAGGTAGCACTCCTACTTGGAAGGGCAGGGGACTTAGTAAGTAGGTTATAAGTAGGGTTATAATTGGGGTAACTCCATTTAGGGTACTTATAACTCTACTTACAACCTACTTACTAAGTCCCTAAACCCTAAACCCCATAGACCCTTTAAGGAACCTTATAGATCCCTTTAAGGAACCCTATAGATCCCTTTAAGGAGCCCTTTAAGGAGCCCTTACTAAGTCCCCCAAAGCCCTTCCAAGTACGGCAGGGCACAGTTTTAGCGGGCTCCCGGGCTCTCTGTCGCTGCTCTATAATAATAATAGTAATAATAATAATAATGGAATAATAATAGAATAATAATGATGTAATGAAAGTAGTAATAACAATAATAATATTAATAATAATCATAATGATAATAATAATAATAAGTAATACTAATAGTAATAATACCACGAACCCCTAACCAACCCGAAACCAGGAAAGCTCCCCGCCTGAGGATTCGACTTGGCTTCCTTCGTTCTGTGCACGTGGCTCCAGCGCGTGCCGGCGCCTGGGATGTAGGTGTCTCCGTCATGTCGAAGGCGATCGGCCTGCAGCGAGAAGTGCGTTCGGTTTAGGTTTTCATGGTGTGCCGCCTCTAAACTCTAACGAGGGGAGTCTAGCATTGCATGAATGTAACGGATTAGAGGCAAAGGGTCTCAGGAGCTAATATAATGGCCTTGAGAACTAGAATTAGGTGTGGGGTACATGAGTGCATAGTTGATACAAAGAACCCTAAGGAAGAATGCTGGTGTTTACTTCGGCTTCTACACTTATTAAAACGCCTCCCGCAAGCAACTAGTCACCACATCTCCGAGTCTCGCGTTATTCGGCCAAACTGTGTGGCTTAGAGCTTATCATAAGGTTTAGGGGCGTGATGGCGTCACGTCTTCCATGCGCCATAAAACGTCCCATGCAGTCGAAGCCCTGTTCGGGCTCATAGCGCTTATGGTGACAGCCAAAGTGTCTAAAGCCGGGGCTGCCCATTCTCACGATCTCATCTTTTACATTCGTCACGACGGTTTTCGGGGAGCATATGCTGAACCCTAAACCCCGAAACCCTAAAACCCTAAACACTACAACTATATCCCTAAACCCCAAGCTCTGGCCGGTTCAGCGCCTTGTCTGGATCTATCATTACCTGGTCGTCCGGGTTTCAGGATTAGAATTTAAGGCTTTTTTCCCACCCGCCCAGCTGAAAGATTGCACCACAGGGAATTTAGGGTTTAGAATATGGAATTTTAGAAGAAGGTCCACAGAAGACAGAGAGCATATAACCCAGCTACCCACAAGTTAAACCTCCCGCGTACATACTCCCTGAAGGGACCCGTATGGATTCCTGTAGTTGCCTGTGCCTTGACTCCGCCCTTGAAGGTTCTTACTAAGAGAAGCCGATTCGTTTTCTGGCAGCTTGCAATCGTACTACAGACCCGGTTGGGACAGTGGCGACGTTTGTTCCTTTCTGATGCATGTGCAATGGGCAACCAATATTGCTGTGGAGTAGCCTCGACTGTTGCTTACTTGTGTAATCTCGCTTTCAATGCGTCGTGGGACAGATCTGGGTAGTTGGTAGTTGAAGGCAGACACCAATGCTTTTCAAATTTGTTGGCGCCCCCCCCCCCCCCCGTTCGCGGTTGCTCGATGATCGCATGCTGCTGTGTCTGGACCAGGCACCTGCTCGATAACGAGCACGTTTCAGATTGCAGTTTCGGGCTGCTCAAGCAACTACTACGTCTCCCGAGTGACCAACATCATTGTCAGAAAGTGTTGGAGGCAGCCCTTGCCCGATTGACGTATAACGTCATAAGGAGCTCTTGAATGAGCCCTTCGCCCAGAATTAAAGCCAGACTCCCTATTGGCCGGGGGCAACTGCTGACCCTCTACCCCAACCAACTCAAACTCTACAGTAAATTTGGCGTCCACTAAGCCCTATAAAGCCCTGCAGTCGCTGATTTGTCAATCGAGCCAAGCAACCCACTCTGTTCCTCGCCCGGTGCTGCGCTTGACGTCCTCGGGTGCCGCAACCAGGGCCATGCGCCATCCCGTGAAGTCGTGACCTGAGCTTATGAGTTTAGGGGTTAGGGTTTTGGGTTTAGTGCTAGGACTCTTAGGACCCTAAACCCTAAATAACACTTCGAGGCTTTTGCCTGGGCTTTGGGCATCTCAGACATCGCTAGTCTGGTTGAGGAAGAGGACAGGATGTTACGTGTAGCATGCGGAATTAAGGCTTGAAGGTTTTGGCCTTTTTGGGGCTCAGTATTTGGTAGGATACCTTGGGTGTTTTGCAGCCGAGCACCAAAAACCAGAAGGGGCTCCGGGGAAGGCCACTCAATCGCAAACACGATATACATCCCATCATGCCCACAAGTTCCAGGTAACAGACAGCCAAACCCAACCCCTTCCAAAGCAGTAAGCGGAATTCGTCACCCTGTCCGATGCTCTGCAGGTGCACAACACTTCAAGAGAAGAAGATCACACCTTTTGGCCTCCGGACTGCAAGTTCAGGCCTAAACCCACGGTGTCTAAGCTTTAAACCGGATCCCAGATACTATAGGGGCCTTAACAATTAGAGTAGGTTTTGGGGGCCCATTATACTATACTACACTTATAATAAGGAACCCCTAAGCTAGTATTGGTCGTTATTTTGGTCCCAGGTGCGGTAGGAGAAGACAAACGAGTGACCGAAGCCGAAGGGCGGCCTCGCTCTTTGCAGGGGCACAGGAAAACTCGAGGGACTCGGGCTTCCCTTTCAGCACCCAGAGACTCCAATATCCCTTAATTAAGGAATATACCTTAAATTATAGTAGGATCCTCAATATGATTTAAGGAATATTCCTTAATTGAGGGATATTGGAGTCTCTGGGCAATAAATGACACAAGACAAGAAAGCCTCAAACTTGTTCTGAAAGGCCTTCAAGATAAACATGCGCACACCGTTTACGAGTTTTGGGGTTTATGCCGCAGCCTTCAGGATACTCTTCATGAGCGTTTGAGCAGTTCTCACCAATGGGCCGAGGCTAGCCAATCAAGCCACGAAGCAAGAAAGGAACTTGTCCCACACCTCCATTAAGCCTAGTCTGGACCTTCGTGGAACAATATGGGGTCTGCAAGGGCATGGGACATTTTTTCAGTGTTGCTAAATAGGGTTTGTGGTCCCGTTATCGTATAACTATGATGAGGAAAACTAAAGAATACAATTGGTAATTATTTGGGCTTCTATAGTCTCGTTAGACAAGAAGGCGCATATTGCAACCTGCGCAGCTTTCGCTGGAGAGTCACGTTCTATAAGGGTACCATCAGGGTTTAGGGTCTAAGGGTGGGATCTATAAGGGTACCATAAGGGATATAAGGGTCCATGTACCAAAATAGTATGTACTTTGGCCCCTAAGTGGCTAGTCTTAGAAAGGACACTGCTATGTCTTCGTGTCCTTACCCGCCAAGAAGCGGAGATAGTCGGTATGCAGCAGAGAATGAGTCCGACACGCCCGAACCTCAAGCCCTAAAGTCTAAACCCCCCAAGCATCGCTCCGAACCCCGAACGTTAAAGTCCTAAACCATCCTAAGCCCTTAACTCTCAACCCCAAATCCCTAAGCCCAAAACTCGAAAGCTCAACTCGAAATCAACCCTCAACCCCTCAGTCGTAGGTGCTTCGGGTCTCTGGAATAAAGGCCGTTCAGCTCACCTGAAGGCAGGGTTTCGACACGCACACTCGCACAATGCAGGCACGGCTTCAGGAGAGTCTTGCTTGAAGCCAGGGTTTAGAGGTTCAGGGTAAAGTTTAACGCCTAAGCCAGGAACTTGGTAGGATCTAGAAAGTAGAACCACTAACTTGGGACTCTATACTGCTAAAGCATACTTTGTCGGAGCTCCCTTGGGGATCGAGCCTCAATAATTAGAAAAGAGTTGCGGGACCCACTATACTATAATTACAACAAGGAACCCCCCCAAAGTAGTATTGGTACTTATTCAGGCCCCTGTGGTCCTAAATCCTCGGAGGACAGGAAGCGGAAAGCTTTGGTTGAGGGTGTAGGGTTTAGCGCTTAGGGGGTGTATGGTTTGGGTTTACTTGGAAGGGCAGGGGACTTAGTAAGTAGGTTATAAGTAGAGTTATAAGTACCCTAAATGGAGTTACCCTAACTATAACCCTACTTATAACCTACTTACTAGTCCCCTGCCCTTCCAAGTAACCTAAAGGTCCCAACGACCTGATAATGAGAAGTGAGTGTTTAGAATCGTATTTCCTGTAGGTCAGTGAGTTGGGGGAGTATATGGTTATTAGGTACTTAGAGTTGTCAAGGTTCTCAGGAAGGGTTGAGAAGTCCAGGGTGAGGCCCGAAAGCATGAACCCCTAGAAAGCCAAGACCTTATACATCGACTCAGCCGGGACGAAGACCGAATCTAAGTTTAGGCGCTCGAGCCTCAATGTAGCATCCTGAATCGTAATTTACTTCCGAGTGTCCTAGAGTCCTACAGGAACTGAAAGTTCGATCCCCCACAAAGGTCAGAGTTCCTGCTATAGGGGCCTTCACAATTAGAATAGGGTTTTGGGGCCCATTATACTATGTCTTTAGCAAGGAACCGCCAAAACAGTATAGCTGATGATTTATGTCTAAAGCACGCCCCCCTTGTTTGGTAATTTCGGTTAGGCCCCTATATTAACTGTTTGTCCGAAGCACGGATGCTGGAACCTCCCACGAAGAAGCCCACCGGCGGCTCGGTGACTTGGGCAAACCTAAGGCGGTTCGGTGTTCTGCCCCGCAAGTACCCCTGACAGGGCTTTGGCTTTCCGTTTCCGCATACAGCTCTGGGTTTCTGTCTTGCATTTTTCCTTTGTTAACTCGGGGCGAGAGCCCTCGCCTGTTTCAGCAAGCCCCTTGGCAAAGGAATGAAGCCTGAGCCGTAGCATGAAGACCCGTCATGATTAGGGTGCAGTGCATAAATCAAGGGGTCTCGGGCTTTCTGAACACTGCAATAGTTCCACCTTCCTTGGTGGTTAAGTGCCATGGATGAGGTAGTGGCCTGCCGGATGGTGCAGGCATCTTTGGGCTAGGTCAACTCCTCCCGAAGCCTCTAAAACCTCAGACTTCGCCCTAAACCCTAAACCCTAAACCCTAAACCCTAAACCCTAAACCCTAAACCCTAAACCCTAAACCTTCTTAAACTAGGCTCCAAACCGTGGGCCTGAAACACAGGTACCAAAGCTCTCAGAATCCTAAACCCCTAAGGCCTAACCTTGTAAGCTCTGAAATCTCTTAAATCCTAAGCATGACGCCACAATGCTGTTGGAAGCCGGCCCAAGCCCTGAGCCAGAATCGCAATGAACCCCGAATCTTCAAGCTGCTTCTCAGCAGCCCTCCAAACCTCCGTCCACCTCCACCACCCTGGCTTTCAGGAGGGTCTGGCTTGGATGTTGCGGAGGGCTAAACCCCAAACCCTAAAACCCTAAACCGTGACAGTTTGGCTTCGGGGTTTGGGGTTTTGCATTTCCTTCCCGCCGTCGCCGTGGGGCCCGAACCCTGAGCAATTCCACAGCCGAGCACCCCGGTCTCAGGTTGTACTCGGAGCTAACCCTGAGGGTTTACGCTCTCACAACTCGGACACAGCCAGGCGAGGTTCTTAGGTGCGGAGTCGGTGTGAAAAGAATTCAGGCGCGATTCTCACTTGTGCCAGTTCACCACGAAGGACACATAGGCACATTATAGGCTAAAACGCCACAAACAAGGGTCAACTGGTACGAGAATCTACGACAGTTGCCCAGTGTTCCCCAACCACCACAAGGATAAGGTTGAACACAGACTACACACGCATAAGTTCAAAGCTACAGCACCAGGGACCATCGGGTCAGCTGTCCAGAGTGTACTCTGGTCTTCGACTGTCATCCAGTTTCTGACAGCAACAAGTTAAAAGGCTACATTGAACACAATGACACAACAACATATAGACTTGACAATGCAGAACACTGGAGGACGTCGTGCAAACTACCATCATCGGCTCTAGGTCTAGATACTTCACGGGTGTACTCGTTGGGCTACTTTGAGCATGAGGGTGCAAAGCAAAATCCACTCCAGGCCTTTCTAAAAATAAATGGGTAACCGGGGGCCTTTCGTGGATTCCCACAGAGCACCGAACTAGTTGCAGTGAAACTTGCGGTCTCTCATCCTCATTGTGTCCCTTGCAAGACGACTCAGCGGTGCACACAGTAGGTCTGTATGTTTCGCAGGAATTCACTCGAGGCACAAGGTTCAGATCTGGAACTGCCCATTGGCGACTGTCAGGTCTCAAGGCGTTCACGCCCATGGCACTTTTGTCACGCACTGGCCCTTCAACCTCCAGCTAGGGACTCGCGGTGTGCTTGCATTTCCCAAGCCAATACGAAAAGCCAAGCAGTGTTCGCAACATAGCCACATGAAGGCAAAATGCCCTCGATGACATTAGTCACAATGCAGTGCAGAGCGGTGCAGTACTTCTTGTTATTGCAATGTACGACGTGATCAACATCGGTCAGCACGTGTCCGGGCACGCATGGAATCAAGAGATTCAGCATTCGCTTCAGAAGAATAGCAGGATCACAGAAAAGCCACAAGCCCAGGCCAGTGTAGTGCAAAGTAGCATGATTAACATTGTACCACGATCTGCCCAGTTTGCTTTTTGTGCAGCTTCCGGGTTGATGTATTCCCGTCGAAGGTCAGCGCATATCTGAAAATGCCATGGCTCTCCGCGCGGGGCGGGGGATAGTGGTTTGATTATCAAAAGAGGGAAAGGTATTACAAAACAAACCATATCACACAATACAAGTGACAACCGTACCCCAGAGGCAACGACAGCGCTCCCTACCGTGGACGACAGAGACAGAGGGGCCTGACAGACGGGTCCTGGCAAGTGCATCAATTCAGCAGAGGAGCCCACAGCAAACACCACCCCAACACCCATACATCATCGGAAGGAGCAGTCCAGCAGCATGCAGAGTCATGCATCAAAAGGTCATATCATGCATCATGCATTAAATTAACAGTCCAGCAGTGGTAGCAAGGAAAAGGCAGTGCAAGGGGGAAGTGTGCAGGCAGTGCAGTGCGCAAATGGTGGCTCGCAAGCAAGTGTATTACACACTGGGCATGCAAGAGTCATCTCACCTGATTCAGGAGGTCTCTGAGGGCTGGGAGTCCTCAACTGGGATCGGGCTTCCCAGGTAGGCCTGCCTTTCTTTGTTGAGAGCGAGGGCTTCAAGGATCCCAAGTTGCCTGAGGTTAGGCTGTTCACCGATCCCGTAATCCCCAGGGAGAAAGCCTAACGTAGCCTGGCTAAGCATGCTGTTGCTTGGCACGTGAAAACCTAAGGTTGCCAAGTCACGACGCAGGTCACTAGACATATGCTTAGCGTTCATTGTAGTGAAAGCTACCAGGGTGATCCTGCCAAGCGGGTCAACACTCGGGGGTACACATCCCGCATGTAAAAGCTTTCTGGCATTGAAGAAGAAGGGCCTACTGAGCTCGACCACTCTGCCCATGACCTGGGTATTGAGATGCATTCTGGGCGAGTCCCCCTGGGGGTCCTGGACCCACAGGCCCTCACCAGGTGCTCCTTCATGAAGGTTTACGATCATGGAATGGAAGGGCCCGTTGTGGAGGTCTCGGTGGGGCTTACCTACCAACCCCTCACGCATCACAAAGTTCGTGTACGGCAACATCGGGGCCAGGTGCCTAATGAAACTATTGACAATCATGACCGTATAGGGAGTTTCAGTACACATTGTTAGGGGGCAATCGTTACAACGGGGGTTGCAGCCTGCTAGTGTATAAGTACCAAAAGCTCCTCGGTCTACACCACCTGGACGACGACGAAAGGACCTAGGCATCATCTCAAACAGGGCCTGCATCTCCGACCGGCTAGGGGGATATGTACGGCTCAGCAAACGATATGCCCGATATTCCATAGCACGCAGCAGCCAGTCCTCCGAGAACCCGAAGGAGGGCAGTTCTGGGTTGTGGGGCGGCGTTTGGGGGTTGCAGATACCCTCCTCCTGCTCAGTGGACCTGCTACATTGTTTCTTTGCGGGAGGTGCTTCCTTCGAAGTGGAGCTTGAGCTTTCAGCCGGGCTCGAAGGGGGTCGCTTGTTCGCACTACTCTCCAGGTCGTTTACAACAATCACATCTTCATCATCACTGAGGTCGATCGTGCCCTGGGCCTGTTTCAGCAGTACAAACATGCTAGAGAGCGCTGCTACCTCCTCACAAGGTTGGGGTCCTGCGAGCCAAGACTCATGTATGACCTCCATATTCAAAGCGCGCAAAGCAAGAGGCTGGCACACTCACACCGTTGCAGAACTTGGACGGTTGCACATCGTCTTTTCCTCCAAAGTGCAACAGTACGCATGCAGGGGGCTTTATGAGAAGGCCTATGCTCTTCAAGTGCGGTCCCCAGAATTATGGCTACCAGAACTGTGTGCCAATGTTCAGTAGGTAATAAGTGAAAACAAGGCATCCAGTTCAGCATGCAGCACATGGCAGGTCTCAAATTAGGCAAGGACTCAAGGAAGTGCAGTGCAGTGCAGTTGTCAAGGCATGCAAAAACGAATTCCAGTACAGCAAGGCAAGGGCAGAAGCAGGGGCATGCAGTCGGCTACAAAAGGACTAGGTCACGTATCTCCAAGTCGTCGGTTACCGACAGCATGCACAGCTTGAAAGAGCCCTTCTCACGACAGCGGGATGGTCACACTGCGGCCATCTCCTGTGTCCACTCGGACCGAGGACACCGTAGAGGGTCTCGTAGCAGGGAGCGCCGTGTCCAAGTGGAGTTGGCGAGGTCCCATCCGGTGGAGGTTCGGCTCATATGCTGGAGGCGGCATTGGCGGCCTCTCCGTCGGGTGGGAGCTCATTGCCACAGGGACTGGCCGCTCGCAGTAGTCACGGACGATGCGGATTTGCTCGGAGATATCCGCCATTGCCGTGGCCATCTGGAAGAGGTTCTCCTTCTGGGTCGCAGCTTCGTTTTGCTGGAAGCTCAAGGCTGCAAGTAGTTCTTGGCCAAGCTCGTAGACCTGATTGGCCAGGTCTTTGATATGACCAGTCACACTCGTATGGCTGTCATAGTCCGTGGCCGTGATCTTCCGCAGCACCTCCTTCAAACCCGCCTCCAGGAGCGCCGTCTTGGCAGTGACATGGGCCGCGATGTCCGCACTTTGTTGCTTCGAGGAGCTAGCGACCGCCGCCACACTCTTCAAGGTGTCCTTGAGCTGAGAGTCAGAGCTCTTGCCGAAGCTGTCCACGCTCTGGGCCAAAGGTCCCATCTTCGCCGTCACCGCTCCAACAATGCTCTCCAGGCCAGATGTGCGCTTCACCAGCTCCTTGAGATCATCGGAGTTGTCCTTGGCCTTGTCCATTTTGGCGAGGGACTTGGCTACTGTAGCTTCCAAGGCACTGGCTGCTTTCTGGCTATTCTCCAGTTCCGTCTGGACCTTAGCCAGGTTGGGAGCCACACTCGTGATCCCGTTGAGGAGCCTCGACATGTTGGCTGCAAAGTTCTTGACCGTAGTGTGGCACTCCTGCAGCTCCTGCATGACGGACTCTTGCAGCTTACTCGCCGGGCTAGTCACCTTCGTAGTTTCCTGAGGTGGGCCATCCACAGCTGGCTTCTGCGGTGTGCCTGCTGTGTCCGTAGTCCCATCCTTACAAGGTGAGGCAGGCAACTGGGAGGCGCCATCACCATCATCTTTGGTGGCAGGCACCTGGGAGGCGCCATCACCAGCGTCCTTGGTCTGGCACGGGGCTCCATCGTCCTTGCTGCCCTGGTCCAGGACCGCCGGTGTGGTTGCTCCATCTCCCGACGAGGGCTCAGCAGTGGCTGCATCCTTCACCGCCACCTCTTCGGTTTTCTGAGTTCCCAGCATAGGCCCCTCATGAGCACTGCTGGTACTGCGAGATGAGTTCCACCAGGCATTGACATCTTTGACAACAAGAACTACGAGCAAAGTGAGGACCACAGTCAGGAGCTGGACGAGCCAGTCAACTTCCATTCTGGCGAGGAGGCTACCGAAAGGGCTCAGGCTCGAGGTATGAAGTTGCTGCCCACATGTGCTTTTGCTGACCGTCCTGCCCCCCCCCCCGTGCAAGACATGACATGTAGCAACAAAAGCTCACGAGGTCACCACATGAAAAATGCACTCGCAGCACTCCCAACAATTCATGTCAAGTCTATGACTGTCCTGAGTGGGTAGGTCCTGGGAAGCTCGGAGTGATACGAGGCCTGACTGAAATCGGCAAACCTGGCAAGGAAGCTTCGATCCTCAAAGAAAGGCCCGAAGGGGCCTGCAAGGTGTTGGTGTAGCCATTCCGGGATTTTCTTGGGGTACAGATAGCAGAAAGACAACAAGTCCTGCCCTACTTCAAAGTCAGCTAGTCTATGCGACCGCCAGAGCTGCGTGAGGGGAACCTGGTGGCACCAAATATGTGGCCCGAATGCTCCTAGTGGCAAGTAAACTGCAGCTCTCTGTTCCCACAGCAGCGGCATCCAGAGCCATACCTGCCGGAGGAGCTCCCACGACTGGAGCCGTTTGCTAAGTAGCTGGCCCGATTCTACCCGAAGTTGCAAGACCACTGTCTTGATCTTCGCAGCCCTCGGCGCAATTACTCGGATGTCTACTCCCTCTTCAAGCAGGCAGACCCAAACTGTCCACTGCGTGGACCGAGGCACACCCCTAATGACATGTTGAAGTTCACGACTGTAGGGCTCCTCTGGAAAGAGCCTGGCAGGCCGCAACACGGCTAGTGATTTGCCAACCAAAAGTAACTGTCGATCGTTCAAGTAGTTGGGTGGAAGCCTGGCAATCTCTGAGCCTCCATATCCCCACTTACGAAGCCAAAGTTTCAAAGCCCCATCCCAGAGAGTCCTGTCTTGTGCCAGGGACTCAACATCTGGCCAGGGCGAAGGGCCTTTGATCTTATTCCATGCGAGCTGTATCCTCCGAGGGGTGAACTGGGTGAGGGGTCCTGCGGGAGTCCTGCCAGATACAATTCGCCACAGAGAGCACCTGGCAACAATTCGTTGTATGGGGAGATCATTGCGGCTCCTGAAGACATGTCCCCAAAACCTCCAGAGACGGGTCAGCCAGAGCTCGCCCCATCGTATTGATTTGAAGACTTCACAAGTGACTTTCACAGCCCTTCTGCGCGCCAGGACGTTGGACAAAAAGGGTTGGAGGGGGTCAATCTGAAGCTTCAGCAAAGAAAGCAGCAACGTGTGTTTGAAGGCTTCCAAACTACGCAATGCTTGCACGCTGGGGTAAACCGCGGGTGCACACCAGCACCATTTCGAGGTTATATAGGTCTGGAAGAGGTTGAGTTTCTCGCTCACTGGAGTATCAGGATGATCGAAGAGCTTCCTCAGTCCAAAGAAAGAAGAAGACATTTTGGCCAGAGACACCCCGAGACCCCCTAGTGTATTACCCCCGTAGCAAAGGGGGACTCCCAAGTAGAGCAACGACTCTGCTCCTGCAAGGGGCGTCACAGATCTCCTTCCCCATATTCCCGGGGTGGACCCGTCTTCATCGTCCAGGACGCTACACTTCGACAAATTCAGATGCAGCCCAATTGACTCCAGAGTCAACTGCAAGTCCCGAAGCTTACCTTGAAGATCCCTCGTATCCGTGCCAAAAAGAAGTACATCATCTGCAAACAGGAGGGCGTGTGGCAGTGCAAACCGGGTAAACACGTCATGTTGAGACAACTGCCAGCGACGGAGAAGTCCTCCTAAGAAGAAATCCATAACTCTGGAGAACAGGTCAGCACTGTATGAGGTTCCCTGGAGGAGCCCCCGCTCGAGCTCCTGCGACCACATTTTGGACCCAAGCTGGAGCCTGACTTCGGTATCACAACATAGCTGCCAGAGGAGCCAGCATTCTCTGCTGGGGTCAGAGTCATACAAGTAACGCCATACAGCCTGGTGCGAGACAGTGTCAAATGCTTGCTTTATGTCCAACTTGCAGACCAGCAGCCTTCTTCCTGTAGCCTGTTTGTAAATTCTCATCGTGGATTGGGCCGCTGCTACTGCTTCTAAAGCTTGCGTTCCAGGTCTGTTCGCGTGTTGGCCAGCCTGAAACTGGGGAAGGGTCGAGCGAAGCCTCGTCATGATGAGTTTGCTGAAAAGTTTCCCAAGACAAGGGGTGAGGCTTATGGGGCGGAGGTCTTGCACCTTTGCCGGTCGTTGCACTTTAGGGATGAGGCAGATCTTGCCCACCAGCCAGTCTCTGGGAACTGGCAACTCTCCTTGCAAAATCCGTGTAAAGAAAGACGCAAGTTTCCCTTGGGTGTCTTTCTGGTGGAAGACCTGAATCGCCTGGTAACAGACCGAATCCAGCCCCGTTGCCGTTGTCACCTTGACTTTGCTAAGGGCATCGCGGATCTCCTCATCCGTAATAGGACGAAAGTCTGCTACCGCATGTTTTTGGAGCAGGGCTTCCTTCTGGACACTAGAAACCGGGCCTTCTCCGAAGGGTCTCATATATTTCTGTTCATAGAACGCGCGGACCTTCTCACATGCCTGGTCATGGCCTCCAAGTCTCTCCAACAGACTACCATCAGAGAAGCTCTGCATGGAACTTCTCCTGAGGTGCCCTATGGCTCCTCGATCCCCTGCTCTAGCAGCTTCCAAAAGATCAAGTTTGTGGCGTTTCTGAGCCAGCACCCTTTCCTGCGAGATCGTAGTCGCAAGTCGCTCTCGCTCTACTGGGTCCCCACATACTTTACGCTGGCGGATGAGGTCCTTAATCTCCGGTGGGTCCTTGTATCTTCTGGAAGGGAGGCGGTACGAGTTCGCCTGGCACAAGCTAGCAAAAGAATCCTGGGAAAAAGCAAAGGTATCATCGTTTGCTGCTATCTCAAGAGGTCCTGCGATCACCCCCCACCTACCACAGCCATGTCTAGGTCTAGGCGGGCGCATACGAAGGCCAATTCGTCCTCGCATCACCGCAATCAGGGCATTATGGTCTGAGGGGAGTGCGCGCCTCCAGTCCTCCCTAAGGTGATAGGCAGTCTCGACCATCGGCCAGCGGGTCATGAACCAATCTATCGTACTGAATTCATTCCGGGCAGTCCAAGTGCAGCCAAGAGGCTCATTGAATTCCAGTCCACGGTGACGGGCAAGGAGTTGAAGTCGTGCCAGTGCAGGAAAGGAGGGGTTTGAATTCAAAACCTGTTGATTCGCATCAATTCCCATACAAATGACATCGTGGTGTCGTGCTAGTGCGAGGGTTTCATCTATCTTCGCAATGTCCGAAAGCCACACATCCTCTGCGTCTGGTCGTTGTTGGTGGGGAAGGTGTGCTGTTCCAAGCCAAAAGTGTCTCCCCTCCGCCTTGCATTGGAGAATGAACCCTGTGCTGAAGGGATGACGAGCCACTACCTGGAGGTCAAGGTCGGACCTGAAGAGTAGGGCTACCGCCCTGTGGGACAGTGGTGTCTGATACACAAAAACCTTATAGGATTGACCACTGAAATCAAGATCATCAGTTTTCCAGTCCCCTTCAGGGACATCCGAGCAGCCTCCGACTTCCTGGAAGACAAGAAGCTCAAAAGGATCTTCCACATCGTCCAGCAAGTTTTTTACCGAGCTCAAGTGCTTACCATGGAGATTCCACGTGACTGCTGTGAACTCACGAATTCTAGTTGCAAAGCCTTTCTTGCCATGGGCCCCCGAGGACTGTTGTGCTAGTCAATTGTGGAGCTCATCACGAACCTGATCCGGGGACAGGGACAGAAGCCTTCCTAGCTGTTTGACATCAACGAACCAGCCTGTTTCATCACCGGCCTGATTTGTCAACATCATTGAGTTCTCATCAGGCTGCTTGTTGCGATGCCAAAACATGCACTGTTCCGAGCGTATCCAAAGTCTACCAGACCAGTCAAGGTCCACAAAGGCCTCCGACAAGTGCTTGCAAGCCCACTCTTTGATACTCACTAATGCTCTCACTTTCTCTCTGTCCTCTTTACTTCTGTTACGTGTAACCCAAAGCTTCGCTTTCTGCTGTCCCGGGATAATGCTAACCCACCCATCCAACTTTGCTCGCAGCGCCTGAATCGTAAGGCTCTGAATGCGCCTGCGTTCCCCCAGATTGCTGTTAGTAAACAACAACTCCACACGAGCAAAGCGTGTCCTCACGAAAGGGATCGTGATGTTATGGAGTAAGGGCTTAGCTTCTATCTCCTCAAAAAGAAGTCGCACTTCTTGTTCAGCTTCCCCACGTCTAGCCTCATCCCATCCGCCAATGACAAGTTGCAAATCGTCTACTACAGGTCTACCCCCCGCAGTGCTGGCTGCAGCAGATCCTCGGGGGCTCTGCTCCACCCTGTGGGGCGCGGGGCTGACGGATCGGGACCTGGCTCGTAGATCCCTGACTTCAGCTTCCATGTTGTCTAAGCGGGTGACCATGTCCCCTTGTGCTTTCTGGAGTGCTTCCTGCTTCCGATCAATGCCCTGAACCTGAGCAGCAACATCGGATATGTGGGTTTTATGAGTCTGCAACTCTGACATCAGGTCCCTTTGTCCTGCCGCTACCATATTCTGAAGGTCGAAAACCCAGGAAGGGGGAGCTTGAGGGTCAAGATTATACACTTCAGGGGCACCTCTGGTGGAGGCCTCAGCAGATCTCTGGTGGGATCGGGAGGGATCACCACCAGCAAACATCGTGTCTGGGGTGACCCTAGCAGGAGGCTCCGTCCGCTGGTTTCTGGAAAGCTCTCGAAGGATCTCCACCCCCGAACAACGGTGGCGGGTCCAAGCCCTTTTTCTGTGAAGCAAGTTTGGGTTTCTTTTCAGGGCTCTCAACGTGCTTCTCTCGGCGAGGCTTCGACTTAGGTGTCCCTAAGGCTTGCTCAACCCCCTGCATCGCAGACTGAAGAGCTTGTTGGGGACACGGAGCTGTGGAGGCCCGGGTGTTCACTGCGGGGGCGAGGGCATACGGGTTGAGGTTCGGGACTGTAAGCTCAGCGGCCTCTCCTGTTGCAGCTTTCAGTGCCGCAG